ATCCACATAAATACCGTATCCGTATTTACATATGTTTGGCATTGTATTTGTACGCCAACAAAATTTCGACTAATATGAAATCGTATAACTTGTCTACACAACATTCATAAGTTAATAACCAAAACTGATTACATATTTATAATGAACGCACGAATTTGTTTTGGTTTTATATAGTTGGAACTATTCATATCCAAGAAGAGTCAAAGTAGAAAATGTTTTTGATATGGTTGAGTTCACTTTCCATTCATAGTAAAACTGTATATAATTATATCCAAAAAACTAGCAATTTTATAAGAGTATGGGTACTACTATCCAATACAATATGTAATATATACATTTCTGTTAAATTAGCTTGTTTCGAAATCTTAAAATTAAAATATCATCACATTGCTTCTGTTACAAAGATCTAGTAATTAAGGTTCTAGTGGATATGAACAAGGCAGATCAAAAGTAATCACATGATTATAATAATAATCTAATCATCAGTTTGAACGTTAGATCCAGTAAAAGTTTATGGGAAACGTTTAATATCTTTGCTTGAGGTTCTCTCAATCGATCCAGCTTTTTTTAGTTACATCATCTAAATTTGGTACTTTTTCCCACGTGGCGTCTTTTAATTGCGTACCCATACACCTAAATTTATTATTATTATTATTTTGCGTATATGCCTATAAATACACACTCTGAATGCGATGTCTGACCCAATTTCAACAGATGAATTATGAACATACCAACTGAATTCAAAGTAATAATCAATCAAAAAATTGTCATTTTGCTAAATCTTATATTCCCTTTTGTTTTTGTGCAACTTTATATTTTAATCTCGTTGACCAAAAAGAAAATGTTAATCTAATTACCCATTTCGTTTGACCAAAAAAAAAAAAAAATCTAATACCCATTTCATACCAAAACTAACATCCTGTTAAAATTAAATATAGGTATAAATCGTTACATAGTAATATAGTATTATAATTTATAGGTATATCAGTTGGGTCAATATGACCGGTTCGATTTTGATCCTAACTCAGTTCGAAAATGTTATCAGACTCAAGTTGATCAAGAAAAAATTAGACACAACTCAAATAATCGTCCTAAAAGTTTAGAAAAAACGTACTTTTTAATCTGAACAACGGATTCTGATCCAGCTTTTTCGAAGGAGTGGTCCAGACTAACCTAAATTTACATGCATATGATATGAGTATACATATCTATCATTCACACAAGAATGTAACATTTTAAATTTATATGCAACTGTACTTTCTACATATTATCAAAACATTGCATATATATAAATTACAAAACAAAGGTTGTCGGATTATATAAGATTAAAATAACGAGATTAACAAAAAAAAAAAAACTTCATCCGATGGTGAAGATTAACAAAAAGGTTATATTGTTTCCGTTTTTCGGACTGTACTAAAATCCCAACTTTAGATGTCTGCTTGGTCTGATTCGCAAGACTATAGTTGAATGTATTAATGAGATTACATTAAATAAACATTATGTAAGTAGTATGAACCTTCCAACTACGTCGCCAGATTCTGGTAATTCTTAACTACAATAGTACTTGCCCATTTTTGTACGCAGAACTTCATTAGTTATTTACACCCAAAAAAAAAACTTCATTAGTTAATACTACTACTTTTTGATCTATATAAATAAGCATATGTATGAGTGCTTTTGTTAAATAAAAGTTTCAACCGAGCCGAAATATATACAAAATATGCTTTAGCTGTTCAAACTTCAATTAGATTTCATTATAAATTTTAGTACTGTATAGTGATGTAATAAAATGGTCTAGTAATAAAATTGTGAATAGGATGTCACCAAATCAAACATTAGAATGAGAGTGGATGAAAATGGATTTTCAAAGATTCCAAACGTTGGGCCAAAACTCACACATTGAGAGAAAAAAAAAAGTAAACACCAAAGAAATAAAACAAACTCATTTGAAGCCCAAATTACTATCACATGGTATCGTTGGACTCTCTCATCTCTATAATTAGGCGGACCGGTAAAAAAAAAAGAAAAATTCTCGTTACTTAAATGTATATTTTTTTAGCTTGACTTGATCTTAGAACTTCTGAAAAAATTCATGTGATTAAGATTTGATCGTTTCCGATTTTGAGTTAGATACAATTATACAGTTTCAATTTAAAACTAATCAACGATAAATTATCTGTATTTCTTATATACTTTTTTAGTATCTTATCTTTACGGTATGTTTTAAAAAAAAGTAAACCAATCCATGTGGATATATATAATATTTTTTTCTGAAATTTAAAGTTTCTGTTTCAATACGAGTTTATCAGTTCCAAGAAGTAGGGAGAGAAGAAGAAAACAAGTGTCGCACACTCAACGACGGAGTGACACCCATCCCCAGACCTACCTGTTACCGTCCCACACTTGTTCTTTCTCATGCATTTTAAGCCCAATGCAGCAGTTTTGTAGTAAAATTTACAAAGTGAAAAACAAAAAGAAAAGAATAAAGATTGATTTAATAAGTAGTGGTAGATAAAATAGGAACTTCGAGACGAAGCACCTAACGAATGCTTGAGCCATGTGTTCCGAGTCGTTTGCCAGGCCGTCCTCCATTTTGACACGTGGAATACTAGTATTGTATGACATTTTTCCATTTTCGCTTGTACGTACTTCCGTAGACATGCATATATTATATATATATACACTTTGTCCTTATTATTTTTTTGTTAGTTTTATCATCTAAATTGTTATTCCTATCCAAAACCAAAATAGTGAAACTGTTGGAAACAAAACCCATGAAACTTATAACCTAAGTAAATATATACGTAGTATTAAAAATAGAAGGGAGGATATTAAACAGACAATGTAAAAAATAAGTATTTTTCTTGTTCAACTTAATTAGTTCATGTCGGAATGTCTGAGTGCTAAAAGTTCAAAAACAACAACAAAACATTAGTCGTTGGAAAATTAATTATTTTTCTCTCTTTTTAAACATCCAACCCAATATGTTACAATATAGATGAAAAATGAACCAAACAAACGAATTTAAATTATAGTGTATTACATGATCGGAATTTTTAACGTCTTTCTATTATTTGAAAATTAAGGTTTTCCTTACCAAAAAATAGAAAATTAAAACATTTTCACTTTAAAGCACAAGGTTTAGAGAGAAACACGTGTGAGTCATCATCAAAACAGTGGTCGGGGGTCGCTTTCGTGTAACACAGACACATTAAATAAACAAAACGAGATTCCTTAGTATACACATATATACACACGTATACACATACACATGCCACGTAAGAATACGTATATATATTCATGACGTGTCCAAGAATATATATAACGTACGCTTCAATTTTCATGATCAGTCTTACAAATGTTGGCTAAAACAGATTGAAACTGTAATATCCCTGTAATATCCAACTCTCAGAGAAAATATCATGGAAGAAGAGCAACCTCCGGCCAAGAAACGGAACATGGGGAGATCTAGAAAAGGTTGTATGAAAGGTAAAGGCGGTCCAGAGAACGCCACGTGTACGTTCCGTGGAGTTAGGCAACGTACTTGGGGTAAATGGGTCGCTGAGATCCGTGAGCCTAACCGTGGCACCCGCCTCTGGCTCGGCACTTTCAATACCGCAGTCGAAGCCGCGATGGCTTACGATGAAGCTGCTAAGAAACTGTACGGACACGAGGCTAAACTTAACTTGTTGCAACAACAACAGGTCGTAAATAAGAACCTGTCTTTTTCGGGCCGTGGGTCTGGTTCTTGGTCTTATGAGCTCGATGCGGTTCGTGGGTTGGACCTTGGTCTCGGCCCGTCAAGTGGGTCACGCGGCTCGTGGTCGGGGAGTTTTAGTTTTCTACAAGAAGTTGATCATCATAACTCTAATCGACCCTTATCTTCAGGGTCGAACCTTTCTTGGTTGTTACCCAAAAGAAGTAATTCACAAGATCAAGAAAGTGTTAATGCTGCGAGTGGTTGCGGCGGTGAAGGTGGTTTTACGTTTTCGACGAAACCGAAACCGAATAACATGATGATGACTCCGAATTATGGATCATCGGATGGAGTTTGGTCTAGGTTTCTTGTAGGGCAAGAAAAGAAGATTGAATATGACGTTTCGTCATCGTGTGGCTCTTCCGACAATAAGGAGAGTATGTCTGCTCCTAGTGGCGGCGGTGACGGAGAAGAGATGCATAAGCCGGAGGTGGAGGAGGGAACAGGGTACTTGGAGATGGATGAGCTTTTGGAGATTGATGATTTGGGTTTGTTGATTGGCAAAAATGGAGATTTCAAGAATTGGTGTTGTGATGAGTTTCAACATCCATGGAGTTGGTTCTGAGAGAGTTTTATTTATTTTATCACTATTATTTATTTATCATAAATATATCTCTCGAGTTCGAATTTAGGATTATTAATTTGTTATACATCAATCGTCGTGGGTTCTCTCTTCTTGCGTGTAGCCTTATGTGTATAAATATAGGTTTGAGCGTGTTGTTTTGGATTTTGTCAAAAACTATATGTAAAGAGAAAATTAATAGATTCAAATTGGTAATGTTCTCTTTGGAGCGTAATAGACTAAATGTTACAATGTTTGTAGAGCTTAAAAGTTTTTTTTTTGTCACGATAACAGTAAGATAGTTGAAAAATAATCTGTTCAATCAACATATGGTGCAGTTCCTTTCCACAACTTGTTGATTTTAGTCTTATCATCGAGTGTCATTTGGTCAAGAGATGAACAAGTATGGATGTTGTGTTTTCTTTTTGTAAGCGAATGGACATTTTCGTCTGTTAACTTGATGTGCACATCAAAACGATGAAGCCTCATTGATGGTCCACGATGAGCTTATTTGCCACTATGTTATATCAAAACACTACCGTGTTTAATACGTCTTTCCTACTTTCAGCCGGAGATCACCATAAGCATCATCACATGTACTACGTGTTTAAGCTTTGTAAGCAAATTAGAATCTGGTTAGAAGATTTGTGTGTGCTGTCGATACCAAAGAACATTAAATTGAAAAAAAAATTAAGTTTACTCTCTAATTTTCATTTCATTACCATTAAATTGAAACAAAATTGAAGTTATCTCATTATTTCCTCCAGACAACATATCCTCAAAAAAAGAAATACAGATGGATTGATTCCGCAAATCCTTAAGACTCCGCATGTCTTTGAGCACACAAACCTAAACTTACCAATTACCATTATCAGTCAGAAGCTTCATCACATGAGTTATCATCACCATTCACACTTACATCATCATCGTCATCATCATCGTCATCGCATAAGACTTCAGCGGTGGAATCTTCCCTATCATGTGCACTACCAGTTTCTTCTACCATAACCAAAGGCAGCTTCAGAGGCTGCTCTGGCGACCCCTGGAAGAACGAATTCATTACCATGAAGCGGAAGACCTGTAATAACTGGCTTTTGTCTCTCTTTATGTCTGCGCTTAGTAGCTTCTCAAGCAATGTAGGTTTTCTCGTCGTCATGGAAGGTTCTTGTGATGAATTTTGGTCCTCCAACCTTGGTTTCTTGCTAAACTTGTCTTTGTCACCATGTCTCCTCCTACTATGTCTAATATTCCGATATCTTCCCTTTTTGCCATCCTTGTCTTGAAGTTTTCCATTAACTTGTTCATCTGTATTAGATAAATAATGTGAGGGAACTTCTGCAACTTCAACACCTAACTCAGCCTGCTTTGCTAAAACTTCTTGGAGTTGCTGCAATGCAAAAAAGAAGAAGAAGCTATATGGTAAGTAAATGTTATTTGAAAGAATAATTATGAGTACACTATGACCTCTTCACTCTCGTCTGATCTTAATGGTGATTTTAGCATTCATATTTTTACATCACATAGCAGATGGCATTACGTGGAATTTCTCCAGGTTTACCAATAGATTCTATATTAAATTAATGCCATGTTTCTGCCTTTCTGGCATAGCCATAACAAAATTAACCATATAAAATGTGGAAAAATTAAGGAGTAGGCCAAAATAAAAGGTACCTGACGACGCATTTTTGCTTCCTCGTCAAGGATGCAGCCTGAAACATTTTTCTTCATTTTCTGCAAATAACCAACTCAGCGTCAAAATATTTGGCCCTAAAGAGTGAACTTCAACAAATCAAAGGCGCTTGGGGAGGGAGGGCTACTTCTAACCTTTTCAAAATTGAGTCTCGTTGGAAAATTCTTACGCCGAGCATCACGCCATTGCTTAATTTCCTTTGGAGTATAAACCATGGCATATGATCTTCTCATGGAGAAAAATAACGTCAAAAGGATAATATTAGAGACTGGGCCAATGAGCTGTCATCAACTTGAACAAAAATGATAACAACCGATATAATCCAGATAGTCGTGAATGCAGGAAACCAAATTGCTAATCTAACCAAAGGAAATTCAATGAGCCAAAGAGCAAGGTGCTACGATATTGAGACCTGGCACTACCTTTTCTTTTCCTTAGCTATTTTGCCAGAACCATTGACACCACTTGCCATCTTATTATAGTTCCCTGTAGTTGAAGCCACTAAATGGAGAAATCAAAAACATCGAATAAAGAAAACACCTTCAACATTCATAATGCTTCAGAGAAATTGAGGAGCGTACACAAAGCTACTAACTTGAAATAAATAAATAAAATTTTAGATACTGTAAAGAAAAATGTGAAAACTTTCTATCTAAATTCTTCGAATTTCACATCAGTGATGTGATTTGATGGAAAAAAGACTAACCTTTGCCCATGTGATCCTTATTAGACCCAAACTTCTTCTTTGCGTTATCTCCTTGATGCAACTGAGGCCTCTGGAATCTACAATAACTCAGAATACATATAAAACCAAGATCATAGCAAACAAGTGTAACTAAAAGGGGAGCAAGTAGTAGAAACATACCCTTGACCAGGGCCTTTGAATTTTTGCTGTTTTGTAAATTTATTTCGAAAATCATTCCCTTTGGAATTGGTACCATTGGCGTTGTTGACATTTCCTGCAGACTGCACCTGCAGAAGCTCAAGTTAACAAAAAATACAAGAAGTACCGGAAACCGCTTAAGATAAAGACATAACATGCAATCAAAGTAAGAAGTATCACCTGTGGTCTTGGCTCTGGGAAACCCGGAGGACGCAACTGGTGGTTTTGATGTGGAGTTGGAACAGGAGGATACGGGATGGGGTTAAAGGAATTATTAAGCTGTGGCTGAGAATTGAAAGCAGAAGGGTTAAGAGAAGGCTGGAAAAAATTGGGTTGAACTAGAGGCAGAGAGTGACCACCCATGAGATTATTATTAGCAACTGCAAACTGAAGATTCCCCAAGAGGTTTGGAAGCAACTGGTTGATATGGTTGGGCAAACCAAACTGGTGAAGTTGTTGTTGTTGCTGCTGAGGTATATTGGAGAAATTGTTAAAGAACTGAGGATGCATCGGCATGTTCTGCATTGGAATCGGATTGTTCATGTGACCACCCATCATTGGGTTACTCATCATCTGTGGATTCATCATCCCTAACTGATTAGAATTCACTTGGTTCTGATACCCATTATGTTGGTGGTGACTAGAATACCCATTGTTCTGCAGGAGGCAAAAGCAGCGAACATAGAGATATCGATACGAATATTTCTTGATTCTTGATTTTGTGGTAAAGAAAGAAAGAGACTTTTAGGGAGTGAAAGAGAAAGTGAGACCTGCTGCTGTTGTTGTTGTGGTGGATGATTTTGTTGTTGTTGTTGATGTTGTTGTGGTCTCTGCGGGAGAGCTTGAGGCCGGAAGGAGTTGAACGGAGGTCGCATCCTCCGTCGTGAACGATTTCGGCCTGTGAGGGTTTAGGGTTTTAGGCCTAATTCTGAACGATAACTCTTGGGTAGAAGCTCTGCTCAGTGGCAAATTGAAACGACGGGACAGTAAGAACAAGAAAACCAGGTCGAAATCAATCGAGACGACGATGGGTGAGTTAATTGGTTTACCTTTGATCGTTGATTTCGTCGGCGTGGAGCTATGACGAGTCACACGACTGTGTTGGAGTGAAAGAAGACGAAGAAGAAGAAGAAGAAGAAGAAGAAGAAACCTAATTAGACTCTTGACTTCAAAAGAAAACTCTCTCGTTCTCTTTTAATTGGACCGCGAACCAACCGGTACGAATCGGTAATGTGCTTTGAATACGTGGCACTCTGAACCGGAGTCAAATTGATGGTCGACGTGGCTATTGGTCTGGATATATATGGATCAGTCAGTATTGGGCAATTTGGGCCTATTTAATAAACCCAGTCAAACCCAACTACATACTCATCAAGAGATATATAAATTTATCATCTCGATGACATACATTATTGTAAAATGATTACTGTTCACTCTGAGCTTCGTAAACAATAGGATCTTTTATCAAGATGAACTAAGATTGTTATTACGGAATGTTATGTATATAAGCTGTCATACACAAGCCTCATGTGAGTTCTTGTTAAGAGTAAAGGGGTTTTGTTTCGTTCCTTCTTGTGAAGACTTGAGGTGGATATAGGTGGCATTAAATGTTCACAACGAATACAAAATACCAGTGTTTGATTTAGGGGATTGATTATTCGTAGTGTAACTTATAAAATACAAGAAACAAATGTAGAAACCAAATAAGGTCTTTAGGGGACAATTTATTAGAGTAGTCAGTCAAAAACAATAGCAAAAAAAGGATGTGAACGAATGTACGACAATAATACATAAATGTACAATAACAATATTATCATCATTCTCTTGGACCACAAGTACGTTGATAATTCTAATAAATATTATTACTATCATATAGTCATGATCTTTTTCATTACAAGACTGCAAAAAAAAAACAACTTAAAAATAGAAGTAGTTTCGGCTGTCCACAACACGGGATTGAATACATTTAAATAAATCACTTGAAAAGTGAAAACCAAAAATCTAACTATATAAATTCCACTTCTCATTTTTTCATTAAGTCAGTTTTAAATCGAAGGAAAAAAAACCGTTATGGCGATATCAACTCGCAAAACTGAATCATTTGTTATAGCATTCGTGTCTCTGTTCTTAGTACTGGTAATGTCCGGTCCGATCGTGGTCGAGGCACGTGCTTTTTTCGTGTTCGGCGACTCGCTCGTCGACAGTGGCAACAACAACTATCTGGTGACAACTGCACGTGCCGATTCTCCACCGTATGGAATTGATTTTCCAACTCGTAGACCGACCGGTCGGTTTTCCAACGGTCTTAACATTCCAGATCTTATCAGTTACGTTTGGTTACTAATCTCATTAACCGGTGTAGAGTAATCTTGGTTCAATTTATCCACAAATATACAAAATTTGTAGTTGTACGTAAGGTGTAAATTGTGATGCTCAGTTATGTAAATTCGACCAACAATTAATAATGAATTGGTTAATATCGGTTAGGTGAGGCAATCGGCAACGAAGAGCCACCGTTACCGTACCTTAGTCCGGAGCTAAGAGGGCGTAGGCTGCTTACCGGTGCCAACTTCGCCTCCGCCGGAATCGGAATTCTCAACGACACCGGATTTCAATTCGTAAGTTGTCAAACCGGATCTACTCATAAACTAAAATTTCCAAAAGTTATCCGGTTATCTATAGGTATGATTGTTTTATTTTTTGGAATGCAGATAAACATTATAAGAATGTACCAACAACTGGACTACTTCCAACAATACCAACAACGTGTGAGTCGCTTGATTGGGAAACCGCAAACGCAGCGGCTCGTGAGCCAATCGCTTGTGCTAGTCACGGTTGGCGGCAACGACTTTGTGAACAACTATTTCTTGGTGCCATATTCCGCTAGATCGCGCCAATACGCTTTACCCGACTACGTCCGGTTACTAGTTTCCGAATACAAAAAAATACTACTGGTAATAACGATTCCACGGTGTTATAATTTGGTTCATTTTTTGCATGTCAAGACAAAAATATATGGACTTTTCTGTAATCTTCTTGGCTTGGAGATCATCAGGTGCATTAGTTTGGTCTCAACCTTCGTACTCCGGACATGAGATCTTTCAATCTGTTACAGTTATTGATTTTTGTTATATGCTAATAACTTAATTTGTGTGATTTCTAGAGGTTATATTCGCTTGGAGTGGGTCGAGTTCTAGTGACCGGAGCTGGACCACTAGGATGTGCACCGGCTGAGCTGGCGAGATCAAGCTCGTCCAATGGGAGATGCTCGCCAGAGCTACAACGAGCCGCGTCTCTGTACGATCCTCAGCTACTCCAAATGATAAACGAACTTAACAGAAAAATTGGGAAAAATGTGTTTATTGCGGCAAACACTAACCAAATGCAAATTGATTTCCTAAGCACCCCACGAACTTACGGTAATTGAATTGAGTTTTTCCTTATGAATATTTTCTTCTCTTATCAACAAGAGAGTGTTAGTAACAGTTATTTATTTTCGTTGGATTATAGGATTTATAACGTCGAAGGTTGCTTGTTGCGGACAAGGCCCGTATAATGGGATGGGTTTGTGTACGGTACTATCGAACTTGTGTTCGAACCGTGACTTATACGTGTTTTGGGACGCGTTTCATCCGACCGAGAAAGCAAACCGCATGATAGTCCGTCATATCTTGACCGGTACCACCAAGTATATGAATCCCATGAACCTTAGCTCTGCTCTTGACCTATGAGCCACACATCCGATAATATTCTAAAGTTGAAGTGGGAATCTTGATTTAAGTCTATTTCCATTATGTTGATTCGATGTATCGAGTGAAAGAGGATGAAATAACTCCGTTAGTCTGATTCTAACTTGTTTCTTTGTTTGTAGTTTATAATTGGAAAACCTTTTGTATTGATTTGATTTACTTACTACACAACCCTCACTGCTTGAACGAGACGAGCATACATTAACAAAATCATCTTAAATTTTAATTAACCAGACGTGTTTGGTAATTTGTTTTTTTTTTTTTTTAAATTCAATTACAAAAATTTAGATGTGTAACTTTTGTTAGTAAGAGAAAATGTAGATACTATAAAATTAAATAAAAATGCAAATTATAAAATTCATATACACTAACAAAATTTTATTATTATGCGTCAGAAAAAAATTGTTTTACAAAATCATCTTAAATTCATATACACTAACAAAATTCATATACACTAACAAAATGTAATTTGTTTTTTTTTTAAATATATTTTCTCTTATTTTTATTTATTTTCCAATTTAAAAAGAAGCAAATTCCTCTTTTTCTTCTTCTTTCTTTGTGCTATTTTACCTTTACCCAAAAAATAAATTACTTTACAATATGAATGTTTATATTATTATATTAATACATTCCACGATTTAAAATTAATATTGATATTGTGATCTATTGAATTAGAATTACATTCAACCTTTAAATAACAAAATATATAGCTGAAATTTAAAGAGTAGTAAAATAATGAAGAATTAATAATGTTAAAATTTTTTATATTAAAATAAAATAGTTTAAAACCCAAATAGTAATTAATTTTTATGGATGCAAAAAATATAGTCTAAACCCCAATTTTAAACCCCTTAAATCCTACAATATAAAAATGAGATTTCTCTAATTTAATTTGTTTTAATCTGTTTCTCTAACTTTAGTTTTTTATCTTCTAATTATTTATTTTATGTAAGGAAAAATATTTATTTTGGTAATATCTTTTACCATATAATTTGCTTTACAAAATTGAAAATTCTTTAAATTTTTTAAGGTAATGAAATAATGAGGAAGCTAAAATTCCAAAAATGACCTCAAAAGGCCTTCTCGAAAGACTCAAAACCTACTGAGTGGAGAAGAGGTATATAGGGTCAATTTGAGGAATATAGAAAAACGAAGAAACTTTGAAATAAAACCATCCAGATTGAATTGGAGAGAATCCAGGTCTAGCGCACCGAGTTCGATCAACGATGATGATTATGAAGATGGAAGAGACGGCGATTGTGTGGCCGCTGCTCCAGTCGGATCTCCGGCCGATCGAAGACGTTCTCGCGGAATTCAACTCCAAGTTCCCTCGCCCTCGTCACTTCACTGTCTGCTCCTCTCTTTCCCTGCTCTTACAGGCATGTGCTCTCGCCCATATCTTCATCTTCTCCTTCCTTTGAATTTCCTCCCGTTGCTCGCCTCCGTGTTCTCGATTGTGTTACAGTAGCGAGTTTTGTTCCTTTTTGGATATTTCACGCGGAAGGATTGAATTGATTGAATCTAGGGTTTTCTATTTCACTTTGAGGATTTAGCAATCGAGGCTTGGTCCTTCGCGAACGGAGCCGGTTTCGCGTCGTTTATGTGTCTACAGAGTATCCATATTTTCTTTCTATGCTTCGGATATTGAACTCATGAATGAAATTCAGTCCTCGAGTTATCTTATATCAATGCTCATTTCGCTATCCACTCATTGTATACTGGGAATGAATCAAAAGTGATAAGAACTGTTTCAGGCGTGTACACACATAGGCTAGGTTACATTGTAATTTCAGTTCTCAGAATTGGGACTAATCGAAAACGAGATGTGGTTCTATTTCAGGATCTGATGATACTCCGGAGCACTGATCGTCTAATTGCATTTGCTATCATGTACCAGTGTTACTCTTCCCAGAAACCATCCGCCAACCCGTTTGTATCTGAAATGATAAATGTAAGCAGCTTTCATTTTGTGTCTAATATGTGGACTCCTAGTTCCTCCATTAAACAGATTGAAAGTTTTTCGAAGCAAAACATGTCAGGGCTGCAAAATTTTTAGCCTACTTTTGGCATTTTCAACATGTTTTGCGTCCTAGCATGATCGTGTGAAAGAATAACGAATCTATGCCTTTTGTAGGCTGCTTGTAATGAGCAAGCGGAAAAGTACGAGAGAGCGTTTCTACTCCACCTGTTACAATGGAACAGTTACAACAACGCTAAAGAGGTAGTCTATATTCTCTGAGCCTTTCACGTGTTGTATTCAAGTCCTGATTTTTACTATCTTATGATCTGCGTGACCCGTGGATACGAATTAAGTATCATGATCAGTTAAAAGTAACAATAGTGTTATCTCTTGCAGATTCTCAAACTGTCAGCTGTCGATTACATCAAATCATTTGATCCTTCAACTCATGTAAGAGCCATTGGCGCATAGACATTTGATGTTCTAATTATATCTGTGTTCCATCCTATCTTCATCGTGACTGTTCCTTTATTATGCGTAACACTACTTGGAAAACATATTGAGAAACTTATCTGGTTAGTGATTTAGTATGGTGATGTTCTGTCAGGAATTTCCGGACCTAGGAGAGCTGCAACGAGAGTATGGCAACAAAACCGATTCTGGACCATCGAGTCACATTTTTGCAGAATCTGCCCTCAAAACGCTATTGCATGATCCTGATGTTCCCCGTGGGTGCGATCCTAACTCTCCAGAGTACGTATCCTATGAGTTAGGGAATGCCGTTTCTTGCTAACTACTATATTCGTTCGACTCTGATCCAGTTTTCCACCCAGCTTAATTTTCCGTGTGACATCATCATGTGCTAATTATATGTTGGTTCTATTGATTATCATTGATTCTAATAATCTTTTAGGTTTGATGTGCAATCTGGAGGGAATTCCAAAATTGGATGTGGTGATAGAGATGAGGCCGTAGCTGGAATATTGGGAAGTTCGACAAAGGGGGGATTAACTCCTAGGTGGATCCGTCCATGTCCTCCTAGATACCCAGTTCATCAGAGCGAGGTAAGGTTGAGATTAACCCATTGTTCAAATGGTTTAGAAGATTATCCCAACTGACCTTGGTGATTCAACTTCTTACAGTTGCTTTGGATTGATCCTGATAACAAGCATGAGCTTGTTTGGGATGATAAAATGTGTGCTGATACTAGCAGAGGCGCGACAGTTAGAGACTTGCTTGTTAAGGGTTTAAAGGTGACACTTTCACCGACGGAGCAAGAGGTATACATTGTTCTTTAATTGTATGTGCGTTAAGTCACTTAGGATAACATGTTATTGCTTATCTCGAACTAACACTGATAAGTGAGCTAGAATAGCGATGGGACAGTAACCATTATGCAAAATTTCTAAGGTTGTAAAGACAACCGTTGTAAGGCAGACATGCTCTAGTTTTGAGAGAGAAGTCGTGCTATCACTTTTCCCCTTTCTCATATAAAGATCTAGTAAGATATTGAGAGGGAACTGATTACAGTAAGAGAGTTTATGGAAAACAACTATGCATTAGATAAAAATAAAATAGTGATTGTGATGATTTCATTGATCAGCCTTACACAGCTGTACTAATTTTGAAATCCTAGATCTTTTAAGTGAAGAAAACAACAAGTTTTATTCATTTGTTGGGCAGGACATCACTTCGGAATTGGCAAATGATCCAAAGCTTGTCTATCACTGTGGAATAACTCCACGGAAGCTGCCGGTATGTGATTTCATTATCTGGCAGTATTTTTTTTCTCCCTTTCGTATCGTCTTTTCTATTATGTCACCTACTTTCTTATTTCTCAGCAATTAGTAGAGCACAATCCTCAAATAGCAGTTGAGATTCTCACCAAGTTGATTAACTCCCCAGAGATCGCTGAGTAAGTCATCACCTTATCAGTTCCACAATTTACACTCTTAGAAGAAGTAGAACTATAAAAGTAGGAATCTGAGAATGCTTGTGCAGCTATTTTACAGCTCTTGTAAGTATGGACATGAGCCTGCACTCAATGGAAGTTGTGAATAGGCTCACAACTGCAGTTGAACTTCCCAAGGAATTTATACGCATGTACATCACTAATTGCATATCGTCTTGTGAGAATGCCAAGGTATTAAACAAAGCTTTCATTTGTTTTTCCTTGGGCATATAAAGCAAAGCTTTCTATGCAGCTATAACATCATCATGTAGTTATGTGGTAAATACTTCTGCTCGTGCTTTGAGATTATGTGCTTTTGTGTGTATGTTCTCGATTTTGCTGGTTTACAGTTTGTATTTGTACTATGTGGTTGTTTCTTTAATGGTATAGTGATGTATTGTTATTCGATCTGTAGCAGCAAGACAAATACATGCAGAATAGGCTTGTACGACTTGTTTGCGTCTTCTTGCAAAGTTTAATTCGTAACAACATCATCGACGGTATGTATTCTCTTTTAACTATAATTTGGTATTTTGCTTTGCCAATAACACAAAGATCAAGAGAGATATTCACATATAGTCCATCATTATGCTTTAGAAATCTATATATGTTTTTGATGAAATGAATCTGTTTGTTTGTTTTATATTTTGGGTAAATGGAACAGTGAAAGATCTATTCATAGAAGTTCAAGCTTTCTGCATTGACTTTTCACGGATTCGAGAAGCAGCTGGTCTCTTCAGGCTCTTGAAAACATTGGAATGAATAATTACTCTTTTCTTCTTCTTCTTCTCCTTTCCTTCTCATCTTGGTCTCCATTTTATTATATTATCTATTTTTCCTCGAATTATTCGAGTTCTTTTGTAGCTAAAGAGGTTACTTTTTGAATCCAAGACAGCTCTCGTTTTTTTTTTTAGATTTTTATGTTCTTTATCCATATGTTATTGACAAAAAAAATCGGTTTAGTCTATAATTGATTAATTTCTTAGATCGGCATGCCCTTTATACTTGGGCAACCAACACTTACCCGGAACGGTTTATGCCTACACCGATGATACCAACTGCTGTAGTTAAACCGCATTGGTGACAAAGCTAAAATGTAGTTATTCTGTATCATGCTACAAAGTTGACTTATCCTGTATTGAATATAAATTTTTATCTTTATTTGTATGTGCGAGTTTGATAAATATAGTTTCCAATATAAAAAATGCTTGATGTTAACGAAATCGGTAATGAATTCGTCATCAAGTTTGCTTCATAGAAAAGACACAAATGTAATGCTTCGTCTCAAAGCTTTGATATGTAAACTAGATTTTGAAAACTAAAATATAATAAAAAAGTTGCTGAAACACATTCTCTCTTTGGATTTGCTGATATTCATCGCAAAATGCATTTCACTCTTAAGAAAATGTAATTTATAGAACAAGATAAATAAATGTAATTGCGTTTAGCTGATAAATTCTGTAGTTTGTTTCTACAATTGGATCTTCCTTTCTTAACCGCATTATGACTGTATTTGTTCTCTCTAATCGTAGTTTAATGATCAGAATTTAGTCCAAAGACTCACACAAGTCACAGTTTAAATAGTTAATGTAATACGAAATTACGCGTTACAGCAATAATATTGTAAAAATACGATTGCAATATACGAAAAGACAACAGAATTATAAATTTTGTTTTCCCTTTTCTTAAAGGTGAAAATAGGACGAACAATAGTCGCGATTTCAATGACAAGAGGACCGAAAAAGAAAGTTTTTTCTACATTTATTTACAAAGAAAGAAATGAAAGCTTCCTCCAACTTCGCTAAATCTTTGGTTCGGACAGAGTACTAGGTTTCCTCGATCTCGTTCCATAAGGAATCAGAACAAAAGCCGAATCAATCGGTTTGAAGTAGTAGCAGCTCTCCTCTCCATTGTTGTTGGGTAAGAAACACAAAGTTGAAAGCTCTCTCCTTCAGTCGCAGATGTTGGTTCCAGCTTCTGATTACTTTCTGATCTTTCCAGGTGAGCCGATAGACGAAAATGGCGGTTCCCGTAGAGGAAGCAATCGCAGCTCTTTCCACATTCTCGTTAGAGGTAACTTCGATTTTGAACATTTTGGTTAAATTTAGAAATTGTGGGATCATTTTTTAAACCCTCATTTTTTTTGCGATTTTGACTATAGTGTTTCTTTCTGGAGCTCAATTTCAGTAATTTGACTAGAAAGGAAAGGAATTGTTGTTTCTTCGTTTTTCATGTTTTGATAAATTTCTCTTCGTGTAAATATTTTCACAACTAGTTGTGTAATCTCGCCTATTTATTCGCGGATCTTCGATAATCCTCAAAATCGTATTGCCTAGTTAGCTATAAAAATAGGTTTCGATGAAATGGCGAAGTTTTAAGTATCTTCTTGAAATTTTGGAGTCACTGTGACAAATTTTCCTGAAGCATTTTCAATTTTGTTGGGGACATGATAGGATGAGCAACCAGAAGTCCAAGGACCGGCTGTTATGGTTTCAGCTGAAAGAGCAGCAACCGATAGTCCCATCGGTTTGTTTCTTCACTTCTTTTTTTTCCCACACTTTTAGCATAAAAGACAACTGATTTTGAGATGGTTGATTATGCAGAGTATAGTGATGTTGCAGCATACCGGTTGTCTCTATCAGAAGACACAAAGGCTCTGAACCAGTTGGTATGTGACTCTTCTTCTTTGTTTCATTTAATTAGTTAAGATATATTATAGCTCTTGTTTTCTGTACTTAGTTTTGTACATTTGTAAGCAGATTATTTGAATGTCTTTAAGTTATTTTTTTCGACTAATTGTATGCAGAATACGCTTATACAAGAAGGAAAAGAGATGGCGTCAATTCTATACACATACAGAAGTTGCGTCAAAGCACTTCCTCAGGTCTTTCTTTGGCTCAGCTTGTGAAATCAATTACTATTTCCAACTGTTTATCTACTTTTAGCAATTTTATTTGACACTTGACAGAAAGTAACTTTTTGGATTATGCTATGTGCTGTTTCTTCAATTCCAAATCTCGTGGCAACTATATATGAGAATTCTTTGTGCACAACAATATATAATGGGAATTGAGAAAGAATGACAATTTGTTCTTCTGTATCAATAATCAATAATGATGGATGTTAGCAATTACTATAATAGGATTTGATATATGTGCTGTTGGATATTCCTGTATTTATCTCTTACATGTTTTTTTCTTAATGATATGCGTGCAGCTTCCCGAATCTATGAAGCATAGTCAAGCAGATTTGTATCTAGAAACATATCAAGTTTTGGACTTAGAAATGAGTCGTTTACGCGAAATTCAGAGATGGCAATCGTCGGCTTCAGCTAAAGTGCGGTGTAACTCCTTCCTCTTCCGACTCTTTTTTATTTAAATTCCTGTATAAAAGTGTAATTTGCTTAAATGCTCTATGTCTGTACAGTTAGCTGCTGATATGCAGCGATTTTCCAGACCTGAACGGCGGATCAATGGCCCCACAGTTACACATCTCTGGTGAATTATAATCTTTCTTTTTTAAGTTTTGTATACATCTTCGAACATTTAACCACTCCTCGTGTTTATAACTTGATGGTTGTACTTGATATAGGTCAATGCTAAAGTTGCTTGATGTCTTGGTTCAGCTTGATCATCTTAAAAATGCTAAAGCTAGCATTCCTAATGATTTCTCTTGGTATAAAAGGTATAAGATACTTTATTTTTATTTAGCCTTTACGTTCTCTATGCAGATAAGACACTTACAATGTAGCTATTTATATCGGCCACTAACACTTTCTTTAAGAGTTGAAGTTGTTTCATACGGGTTTTCTGTTAGTTTCTTTTCTTATTATAGTTTTACCCTTTTTTCAGAACATTCACTCAAGTCAGTGCTCAGTGGCAAGATACTGATACAATGAGAGAAGAATTAGATGACTTACAGGTGTCATGGCTTGTTCATGCAGTCATTTCTTAATGACTCCCTGAGAATTGCCATAAATGAAAAATATTTCTTATGCATGCAGATTTTCCTGAGTACAAGATGGGCTATTTTACTCAACTTGCATGTTGAGATGTTCCGTGTGAACAAGTATCCTTTGTTCTAGATATTTATCATACATATTCCCCAGCATATAGTTCTTACAATGACGCCGTGTCTCTATATTTCAACCTTTTGGATTCCTTAAAGTTAATTTTAGTGTGGAAGACATTCTCCAAGTTCTCATAGTCTTCATCGTCGAGTCTCTAGAGTTGGATTTTGCACTCCTTTTTCCTGAGCGGTATATACTCCTCCGCGTCTTGCCCGTTCTTGTTGTCTTAGCAACGCCATCTGAGAAAGACACCGAGGCTTTATACAAGAGGGTAAAACTCAACAGATTGATCAACATTTTCAAGGTATTGTTGTACATGTTATACCTGTTTAAGTTTCACTACCAATATACCTTAATAGCCTTGTCTCTGACTTGCTAACTGACGTCTTTGTTGTGTTTTTTCGGTTATCAGAATGATCCAGTGATTCCTGCGTTTCCAGATCTCCATCTTTCTCCTGCTGCAATTCTGAAAGAACTGTCAGTGTACTTTCAAAAGTTTTCATCACAGACTCGCCTTCTGACTCTTCCAGCACCTCATGAGCTCCCTCCACGTGAAGCTCTAGAATATCCTTTCATATTTTTATACTGTTCCGTGCCTATTTAACTATTATCTGGATTATTGTGAATGAACTCATGCTTTGAAAATTGCAAGCCTTTACATATTGTACATATCAGAGGCATTATTTGATAGTCAATCACATTGGAGCGCTCCGTGCTGAGCACGACGATTTCTCAATCCGATTTGCTTCATCCATGAATCAGGTTCTCAAACTATTACCTTTCGTGGAGTTCCAGTTTTCTTGCTCTTATCTTGAGTCTCTAGGATGTTGTTCTGTCTTGCTTTCATGCAGTTATTGCTGTTGAAGTCAAATGATGGAGCATATACTGAATGGTGCAGAGAGGTCAAAGGAAACATGTACGATATGGTTGTTGAGGGTTTCCAACTGTTAAGCAGATGGACTGCACGCATCTGGGAGCAATGTGCTTGGAAATTCTCTCGCCCGTGTAGGGACGCAGCAGAGACTCAAGAAACATCCGGATCATATTCTGATTATGAGAAGGTAGTTATTGTGAAAATTTTGAACAGTTTCCTCAAAGTATATAGTTTTATCTTTCATTGTAACAGCCTAACAACAGGTTTTTAATTCTTTTTAATAGGTGGTGAGGTACAATTATACTGCAGAAGAAAGGAAAGCCTTGGTAGAACTTGTAGGCTATATAAAGAGTGTAGGGTCGATGCTGCAGCGCTGTGACACATTAGTTGCAGATGCTTTATGGGAGACAATACATGCTGAAGTTCAAGATTTTGTACAAAACACGTTAGCCACAATGTTGCGTACCACCTTCAGAAAGAAGAAAGATCTCTCAAGGTGAATAAGATTTCCTTTTTTTTTATTCCTGTCCAATTCAACTCACGTTCCCTTTTGGTGTAAGCTTTTCATATCGTTGACTGTGTCATTTGTGTAATTGCATTCAGGATTCTTTCTGATATGCGGACACTTTCAGCTGACTGGATGGCAAATACCAGGCCCGAACATGAGATGCCATCTTCACAACATGGAGGTGATGAAAGCAAAGCGAACTTCTTTTATCCGAGGCCAGTTGCCCCAACAGCAGCACAGGTTTTGGGTCCTTTTCATGATTATTTTTAGATACACAAACGGATGGTAAGACGAAGTGCTTGAACAACTTGCTGTTTTGTTGTTTCAGGTGCACTGTTTGCAGTTTTTGATATATGAGGTCGTCTCTGGTGGAAATCTTAGGAGGCCAGGTGGATTCTTTGGAAATAATGGCTCTGAGATTCCTGTTAATGACTTAAAGCAACTGGAGACTTTCTTTTACAAGCTCAGCTTTTTCCTGCACATATTGGATTACTCAGGTAAACCCACATGCTTAAATATCTTTTTGGTTAGTTTCATTGAGCCATCTTGATATTCATTAGCTTCGTAAGCTGACACCTCAACTTCAATCTATGGTGGCTGCAGCAAGTATTGGGATATTGACTGATCTCGGATTCCTGTGGTTTAGAGAATTTTACTTAGAGTCTTCACGTGTTATTCAGGTACGTGGCTGTATGAAAAGGTTATAACTATATTTTGCCACTTGATCTTCACTTCATCCAGAGTTGTATGTTCACTATTGCAGTTCCCAATTGAATGTTCACTACCATGGATGTTGATAGACTACATTCTTGAAGCTCAGAATTCAGGTCTTCTTGAGAGTGTTCTGCTGCCTTTTGACATCTATAATGATTCAGCTCAACAAGCTCTGGTTGTGCTGAGGCAGAGGTTCCTCTATGATGAAATTGAGGCTGAGGTAATGAGAGTTTAATACCGATCTCAACAGCTATTAACCTATAGGCCTTGTTTAATAAAAAGGTTCCTGAAAAACTTTGTTTCTTGTATCTTGTCTTCTTTCTGTAGGTGGACCATGGTTTTGATATTTTTGTTTCAAGACTCTCGGAGTCTATATTCACGTATTACAAGAGTTGGTCAGCAAGGTACTTAATGACTTAGATGGTGATATGTTCATCTCCTTTACTGTTAACTAGTGAGCAGCTAAACTCTTATCATCAATTATTGAATTCAACAGTGAGCTTCTTGATCCATCATTTCTCTTTGCCCTGGACAATGGTGAAAAGTTCTCTATCCAGCCTGTGAGGTTTACTGCGTTATTTAAGATGACAAAAGTAAAGGTGAACAATAATACTTGCTACTCTCGTTTTTTGGGTGGACATATCACAGAGAAAGTCACGATTAGTTGAATCTTTAGCTCCACCGTTATGAACAATATATAGAACTAGATTCATGTATTGATACTATTGAATCTAATTATGTCTTGGCATGTTTATACAATCTTCTTACTTGAGTTTTGATGTGATGTGCAGCTACTTGGTAGAACAATTAATTTAAGAAGTTTGATTGCTCAAAGAATGAATAAATTCTTCAGAGAGAATCTAGAGTTTCTCTTTGACCGTTTTGAGTCCCAGGACCTATGTGCTGTAGTGGTAAGTTTTTTTTTCCCCCTTTTTTTTTTATTTTCTTGATTTTGTATGTAAAACCATTGCTTTTCAAATGTACAAATTGGATCCTTCCTTTAAGTGTAGGAACTGGAGAAGCTCATAGATATCCTAAAGCACTCGCATGAATTGATTTCACAAGATCTCACCATAGATCCTTTCAGCCTCATGCTGAATGAAATGCAAGAAAACATTTCGCTTGTCTCATTTTCCAGTCGACTTGCTACACAGGTCAGAAATACAATAGTTGAAGGAATCATAAATCCTGGGTCTAAAGTTTCCCAGCTTTTCTTATTATATACTTTTGTTTTGTTTTTGTTGTGCGTTAGATTTGGTCGGAGATGCAGAGTGATTTCCTACCAAACTTCATTCTTTGCAATACCACACAGCGATTTGTCCGCTCATCGAAAGTTCCTCCTACTCAGAAGCCATCAGTGCCTTCGGCTAAGCCTAGTTTCTACTGTGGCACTCAAGTAAGGAGCAATCTCTTAAGCTATTTTTTTTTACTTTTAACTAGTTCTGAAACAATCTTATAGTCCCATATTGTGGTTACTAAACATTCGATTTCATATTAATCTTTCCGTTGAGTTTTCATTTGTCTCATCTTATGTTTTTGGTTTCATGCTTTTTTTTTTGGTGGTAGGACTTAAATGCAGCACATCAGAGTTTTGCACGATTGCATAGTGGATTTTTCGGGATACCACATTTATTTTCTATAGTGAAACTTCTTGGATCCAGATCATTGCCTTGGCTTATAAGAGCTTTGCTGGATCATATATCAAATAAGGTATATTGCACATTTTATACCAAATATTCCTGCTGTCTTTGGTATCAATGATACAAGTAGGTAGCTAAGATAATACTTATGTTCTAAAACTTTCAGATAACAACACTTGAGCCAATGATCTCTGGATTGCAAGAAGCACTGCCCAAGTCTATCGGATTGCTTTCTTTCGATGGTGGTGTCACAGGTTCTTATGATATTTAATTCCTGATGTGTTTCATTTTGTGTGATGATATACTTCTTGTTCACCCAAATGCTATTTTCGTTGTTTCATTTACAGGTTGTATGAGGCTTATTAGAGAACAGCTAAACTGGGGCACAAAGTCAGAACTCAAATCAGAAGTTCTACGTGGAATAAAGGAAATTGGAAGTGTGATATATACAATGGGGCTTCTCGATATCGTATTGGTCAGTCATAACAGACAGATTGTGAAAGATTTAAAGGCTAGAAAGTCTAATGATTTAGTCTAACAAATGTTTGATGTTATCTTCTTGTTACACAGAGAGAAGTAGACACAAAGCGTTTCATGCAAACAGCTCCATGGTTGGGATTAATCCCTGGCGCAGAAGGACAGATAGTAAACGCTCAAGAAGGCGAAAGCCCACTTGTTAATCTCTTAAAGTCAGCAACTTCTGCGGTTGTGTCAAGTCCCGGTTGTCTTAATCCAGCAGCGTTCTACACCATGTCAAAACAAGCAGAAGCTGCAGGTTGATTAGGAGATTGAGCTATTCAGTCATCAGTTTCTTTGTTTACTCTTTTTGTTTTATGACAAAGTTTCAATATTTATGGTATTAAATTTATGTGTGCAGATCTTTTGTATAAGGCAAACATGAACGGTGGAAGCGTTCTTGAATACACACTTGCATTCACAAGCGCGTCGCTCGACAAATACTGTAGTAAATGGAGTGCTCCTCCGAAGACTGGCTTCATCGACATTACAACTTCAAAGGATTTTTACCGCATTTACGGTGGTCTTCAGATCGTAAGCAAACCAAAACCGCAAAACCTTTTTCAAACATCTTTTCTGAAATATTTTTATATCTTCTCAGTTTCCTATGAAATTTTGCAATGAACTCAGGGATATCTGGAGGAGATAACAGTTCCACAATCAGCTCAACACGAAGTCCTCGGTGATTCCATAGCTTGGGGTGGTTGTACAATCATTTATTTGCTCGGACAGCAACTTCACTTTGAGTTGTTTGATTTCTCGTACCAAGTACTCAATGTATCTGAGGTCGAAACTGTGTCTGCTTCACATACTCATCGGAATCCTCAAATTCTCCAGGTAAGATATTTTACTTTCTTCATCCTCTCATCAACCATTATATTTGCTCTTCTCTGTTTGAATGTAATTTTGTTCTGTGTAAGAAAGGGATGGGAAGGTTTGTTGGAAGGGATGAAGAAAGCTCGGCGGCTGAACAACCATGTCTTCTCCATGCTTAAAGCTCGTTGCCCTCTCGAAGACAAAACGGCCTGTGCCATCAAACAGAGCGGCGCACCGCTGCCACGTGTCAGGTTTGAGAATACCGTGTCTGCTTTTGAGACTCTGCCTCAGAAAGGCACCGTTGGCTGATGTGATCGTGTACTCTTCTTATAAACCATATGAATCCAAGCATTCTGATTAAGACGCTTTCTGGCAACATTCATGACGATTTGTCTTCTTTATATGTCTTTGATGAAAGATGTGTTCTTTATCTCTCAACATTCGAGAATTATATAACCAAAAAAAAAAGACCCACCGAAAATCGTTGAGAGGAGAGGAAAACATAATTTATAAACAACAAATGTCGAACCACAAGACGTCCTAAGAGGCTCTCTGTGCTGTGGGATAACACGTGATGGATCCGTATGGAAACGCTTAATGTTTTTAGGTTTTGGATATAATTAGACTCAAGTTTGTGTTTTGGCTCTGTAAATAACAAATCTTAGAACAACTCTGTGTTCTTCCTACTTATGGTTTTCTACGTTACGTGGACGCTCCTTTGTTTAGGCTCTTCTCAATTATGACTATTGTTGCCTTCATCCTTTCCTATTTGTTATTTAATTCATTTTTTTCCTTAATCTATAAGGCCATCGGTCTCCTTTGTTTCGGTTCATTTTAGCTTTTGGTCCTCATCAGCTACGTAAATTTGAATTTTCTATAGTAACACAAACCACGAAACTACGTACAGTATATTTTTGAGGAAAGATGTGTACTTCATCCCAACATTCGAGAATAATATACCCCCCAAAAAAGAACTTGTATCTTTGAGGACAGAGAGGAAAACATAAATTTTGTGGAACAAAACATAGAACAACAAATTTAGTGTTTAGCTGAAGAAGAGATTTTTTAAAAAAATCAATATTGTTTAGGTAAAGTGTTTAAGTGAAATACGATTAACAGGTAACAAAACCATTGCTATTCAAATCATCTTAGTCTAAAACATCAAAACCCGGTTTGACCAAACCGCGTTCTCTAGTAGAACCAAGGAAAAGCCAGAGTCGGCGGAAAAGGAAATTATAAAGAGAAGAGAAGAGAAGAGAAGAGAGAGAGTCTGAAGATTTGATTATTTTTTTACAGGGAGAGATAACTTAGGGCTTTTGGTGATTCCTCGCGAAGGTTTTACAGAGATTTCTAATATGGTGAGTTTAGGTTTTGTTGTTCTTTTTGCTTTTTCAATTTTACTTTCGGCGTATCGATTCTCTGTAATCTTCTCGACTCGCATGCATTTAGCGCGTAAACCTCTGAAATTGGGGCGAATCGATGATTAGTTTCTTCTCTTAATTCATATGCATGTCAATACAACTTCGAGCGGAATATTTCTCGCTTAGAACATTGATATTTCTGTTACCCACCGATCAAGTTGTCAGCTTCCGTATTTCGATTTTGTCTCTTTTCGGTTTCCAATATTTGGGCTTTTGTTTTGTTTTTTAGGCTTCAATGGTGAATCAAACGACTGTTTTGGCTGTGACGGATGATGTGGTGCTGCCTGTTAGCTCTGTTCTAGCTATAATGAAAGAGCTTGCGAAGGAAGGGATTCAAAGTTGTGATCCTCTGATTATCACTCAAGCATCCACAATAAGTAAAATTTCTCATCTTTAGTGCTCTCTGGTTATTCATTTAGCTCAGGCTCTAAAAATTAGTGGTTTTGATCACTTTGTTAAGCTGTAATTAGCATATGTTTAATTCTGAAATGTATATAGAGAGGAAGATTTTGTGACTGTAATATGGAGAGAGTGAGCAATTTTCTTAGGCAAATAGTTAGTGCTTTTTGTCAGATAGAGAATAGTAGAAGACATGCTCTGGGGTTTCCTCCTTCTCATTATGTTGGGCTATTTTGCAGATCAGGTTCCTTTGGATTCTTCCTCAGTGGACTCGGTTTTAACCATCTCCAGAACATCTGACTTTCCCAGTGACAAAATATATGCCGAGTTCTCAAGAGTTTTGAAGCCTGGTGGTATAATGTTTGTGTGCAAGGAGGGTGAAACCGGAGAACTGCAACAGGTTTGTGTTGTTGTGTCTTTGGTCTATGTAAAGGAGGTTTCTTTCACCACTTGTTGCTTAATCTTATGGCTTCTTCCTTGCAGACCCTTCAAAGGAGAGTGACGTTGGCTGGATTTCTGGAGCCACAGTCTCTTGATTTGAAATCTATTAAGTTATCCAAGTTCAGCTTATCCCTGGGGGTGAGCACTTTTACACGTCTTGTCCTTCTTCCATGTTTCAGCATGATAAAACTATTTCTCTTGCCGAATATCAGACTGCTTTTTGGGTTAAAGCTTATACTTGGCCTTTAACATTTAAGGATGGAAGATCTTGATTCTACTTTTCCGTCAAAGTTGCATTTATGCTTTACCTTTGGCTCATCTATATAACAGAGAAACATGTCGTCGAATGCAGATTAAGGCAAAGAAACCTTCTTGGAAGATCGGTTCGTCATTTGCTCTAAAAAAGCCTGCAAACACTCTCTTGAAGATTAATATGGACGATGACTCGGATCTTATAGATGAAGATTCTCTTTTGACAGAGGAGGACTTGAAGAAGCCACAACTTCCTGTTGGTAATTAAAAGGCCATGTGGTTGTCTTTGTTATCCTTTTTATTGATTTCTTGTGTCTAAGACATTTTGCATTCGTTTGCAGCCAGCGGTTGTGAGACCACTAAGAAAGCTTGCAAGAACTGTGTCTGTGGTAGAGCTGAGATAGAAGAGAAAGCTGTGAAGCTGGGCCTCACAGAGGATCAGATTGAGAATCCACAATCATCATGTGGCAGTGTAAGCTCCTTTACCCATCTGTTTCTCTATATGCATTTGCTTTTTGGTTTCACAAGACTCAAAAAATTGCTTGAAACAATTCTTTCAGTGTGGGCTTGGTGATGCCTTCCGTTGCGGTACATGCCCTTACAAGGGTCTCCCAGCCTTCAAACTAGGCGAGAAGGTAACCGAATCCTTTTGTAACTATCACCATTGTAAATTTATTTGAAGAATAATACAGTCTAAGCATGAAACTTTTCTTCCTCCATAGGTATCCCTATCTCAAAACTTCCTTGAAGCTGACATATGAGCCTGTGAAAGGTGCATCTTCATGCGTGCTTGTGTCTCGCAGAGGCCGAAACGTTTTGCTTATCACAGAGTAGTTTCAGCATTTACTTTGTGTCCTTTCGTATATTTTGTTTGTTGGTACTTCTTTCCTTTATTTCTTTGCTTTCTAAAGGCATAAATAGAGAATTGTTGGTACTGCTCCCAAAACACTTTGTGGAACCTTAATATCAAATGAAGTCGGCTTTGCGTTTTGTTAAATATTGGTCTGTGTTTGTGTTTGATTGGCGTGGACCTTGGTTTCGCAACTTCTATCAGTTTTTGTGTGAAGGTAAATTACAACAAATAAACTATGGAGGAAGAAGACTGTCTTCTTAGAATGAACGAAGCAAGTTTTGGTTTCAATTCAAGAACAGGTCAAAATTATCTGAGTTCGTCTCTTTACAGCACAACAAAATGTCTCATTACCTGTAGAAACACCCAAGTCCTTAGACAGCAACTAAGCTTAACGCCCAAAGCCAAGTATAACCTAACCAACACTAAGCTTCATGATACAATTCGTAACTAAACCGAACCAAAGCAGGGTTTATCAACGAGAAAGCAGCTGAACCTCTGAAGAATCCTAAGTATCAGAGCTTAGGAGAAACACCAAAAGCCATTCAAAGTCTAAGCACTACTCAAACTCCTCTAAGCTGAACTTCCAACTGCTCTATTCGCATGGCCAAATCATGCTTCCCGCCATTCTTCAACCCATCAGTGACCATATCAAAGCACCTTGATATCGGAACCAGACCCATCTCCGTCATCTCAACCAAGTAATTAGCCGCATCCACGAACTTCCCACCACGACCACACATTGTTATCAGCATCGTGTAAACCGGTCTGTTTGGCGGGTGAGCCTTCACCTTCATGTCACTGAAGAAGCTAAACGCATCATCAAACATCCCGTTCCTACACATTCCCTTGATGATCGGAGCATACAAACTCGGAAACGGCTTATGCCCATCTTCCACACAATTGTTCAACAGCCGAAACGCATCATCGATCTTCCCGATCTTCGAAGCCGCCGGTATAAGCGTCTTGTAAGTGTCGATGTCTACACAAAGACCTAACTTGCAAGCAGTGTAATACATCTCAATGCAGAAATCAACTTCCCCTGATTTAGATATGGCTTCGACCAGAGTGTTAAACGTTTGGATATCAGGAACAAAGCCTCCTTTCGTCATCTTGTTCACCATCTCTTTCGCAGATTCCAAGTACCCTGCGTTTAGCAACCCTTCAATGAGCAAATCACGGCCACGAGCCGGTGGATTAAACCCTTTCCGGCTCATTTCATCGAGAAACTCCTGAGCCTCCTTCATTTTTCCGGCGGAGCACCATCCGTTAACCAAGATGGAGTACGTTCGCTTATCAGGCTTGAGACCTTTCCTTATCATTCGCCTGATCAAGGCGTAAGCGCCATGGAACATCTTCACCTCGCAAAGCGCGTGTAGCAAAGAGTTGTAGACCTCCACGGATTGTTGGCATCCGAGAGTCTTGGGGACGCCATTAAAGAGCTCCACGGCTTGATCGACATGCCCGTTCTTACCGTACTGCTCAATGATGAAGCAGAGTGTCTCGCCGGAGATGTCGAGAGACAGATCCTTCATCTGCTTGAGGATTTTCCACATCGATTCGTATTTCTTATGTGAAGCTAAGGACTTGGCAAGCTGTTCGTATTCCATGGACGTTGGTGTGTAGTTAGGGCTGGAGCGAGCCCAATTGAAGAAGCGGAGGGAATCGTTCGCCGAACGGGAGGTGGCACGGAGGACTCTGAACACGAATTCGGAGGTTACAGGGAGGCGGAGACGATTCAGCGATCTCTCCGGGTGAACCTCTCGGCGGACAATGTTGACGACGTGGTTGATCGCGGCGAAGTAATCACCTTTGGTTGGGATCGAATCGGAGCTTTGCAAAGGCTCGAGACTGGTGAAGTGGCGAACATTCGAAACAACAGAGGCTCTCAAATCGGTGGAGAGGAAGATAGAGAAGATGCTTCCTCTTGTAGAACGTCGGAGGAGCAACATTTTCTCACCGGGAAAAAAATTCTCCGATAGACAAAGATAGTCGTCGTCACTTTCATTCCAGTGACGTGGAATTTTAATTATTTGATTTTATCAGAAATACAAAACGCAGTGTTTTAAGAGGGGAAGCCCTAGGTCGATGATGACCTTACTATAAAGCCTTAAATTTCTCATTTTTTTCTTCCACTCTCTGCAATAGGTCTCAATTTAGCGGCAGGCAAGCTCCAAAGCAGAAGAAGCCCTAACCATGGCGACTCAACAGGCTCGTGCATCAGTGCAATGCTTCGGAAGGAAGAAGACGGCCGTGGCCGTGACCCACTGCAAGCGAGGATCAGGTCTGATCAAGCTCAACGGTTCCCCAATCGAGCTCTACCAGCCTGAGATCCTCCGATTCAAGATGTTCGAGCCGGTCCTCCTCCTCGGAAAGCACCGTTTCGCAGGTGTCGACATGAGGATCCGCGTGAGAGGTGGTGGTAACACTTCCCAGGTCTACGCCATCCGTCAGAGCATCGCCAAGGCCCTCGTTGCTTTCTACCAGAAGCACGTGGACGAGCAGTCGAAGAAGGAGATCAAGGACATTCTCATCCGTTACGACAGGACCCTTCTCGTGGCGGATCCGAGGAGGTGCGAGCCGAAGAAGTTCGGTGGTCAAGGTGCCCGTTCTCGTTTTCAGAAGAGTTACCGTTAAGCTGGTTTGTTTTCATTTCTTGTTTCGATCATCGCAAGGTTTTTGGAGTATTGAGTGATGGACTTGTGAGACTTTTAGATTTATAATTTTCAGTTTTATGCGTACTGGATAATGGATAATTCTCCGAGGACTTGTGTTTTGTTATGTTTTCCCCGTTTGCTATCTTAAAAGTTCGTATTTTTATTCTACTATTTTAATCTCAAAACTCGTTACATTTCGTGATATGTATGGCATTTTGCATATTTAGATGAATGGTTAGGTTAATTAATCCTGATGATTTGTGTCAAAATGTATGGGAATGTTAAATGATTTGAAGTGAATGTTATGGGTAGTTGTTATTGATTCTATAGTTGATCAAATCTAACAAGATGTCAAAACACATCTGAAACCTCTGATCATTTCTGCGTCAGACTTTTGTTGCACCTCGATTTAACATTAACAAAAGAAGTTTTCTTGACTCTATAGAACATAGATATGGCGAGATGATTATATTGGTTTTCGTTAATATCTTTATGCTTTGCTTTTGTTGAATTTGTAAAACTCGAATTTCTAAATCGAATTTGCGATCAACCCGGCTTCAAGGGACAGAACACACCGATAATTTAAGGATTTTCAACAATTTGACACTGATCCAAACTCCAACCCCTCTTCCAAATTGAACATTTAATCAAAGTAGAGTGTGGTCGAAACGTAGAAGAGAACTATATCCATGATATATTTAGTAAGTCAAAACAATGTCGGTAGAAGCACACAGAAGTCAAAAACGAAAAGGTCAACATTCTCGATGTGAAAAGCGCGTCCCAAATACGGAGAGGAGAAGCTCATATCTCAACATCTCTTGTCACTTACCTTTTAATCTTAAACAAAAGAAGAACAACAAGATCTTGTTACTATTTCGCTTCTCTGATGGCGTTTTCTTCATCTTTGTCATCACAGTCTTGCCATTGGAGACACCATGTGTTCCCAAGCTTCAGCGGCAAAGACGTTCGCAGAACCTTTCTCAGTCACCTTCTCAAGGAGTTCCGACGAAAGGGAATCCGGACGTTCATAGACAATGATATCAAGAGAAGTCAAACGATCGGTCCTGAGCTCGCACAAGCTGTCAGAGAATCTAGGATTGCCGTTGTAGTGCTGTCACGGACCTATGCATCTTCAAGCTGGTGTTTGGATGAGTTGGTTGAGATAAAGAAAGTTAATCCAAAGATCATGCCGGTTTTCTACGAGGTGAACCATCTCATGTGAGGAAACTAAGGGGAGAATTCGGAAAGGCGTTTGAGGAAGCATGTGAAGGAAAACCAGAGCAAGTGAAGCAGAGATGGAGAGATGCTTTGGTCTATGTGGCTAATGTAGCCGGCGAGTCTTCTCAAAACTGGTTAGTCGTTCTGATAAATATCCAAACTCTGCTTCAGATCATTGAAACTGAAATTGTGGTTCTTATTGTTAGCTATGGGATGTACCAAATGCTATAAGTTCATCTTGATGATTTGGTAAGAGCAATCATTTTTCATCTTTTGATAGGGACAATGAAGCAGATATGATTGAAAAGATTGCTATGAGCATTTCGAATTAGCTGGTTGGGATCAAGGCTCATATGAGAGAGATTGATTCTCTGTTATGTCTGGAATCAACTGAAGTGAAGATGGTGGGGATTTGGGGTCCTGCAGGTATTGGCAAGACAACAGTTGCCAGAGCTTTATTCAACCGCCACTCTGAAAACTTCCAACATACTATTTTCATGGAGAATGTTAAGGGAAGTTCTTGGTGGATGCTTCAGAGATCTATTGTATTAATATGTAACTCCAAACTGGTTTTGGTATTTGTAAATTCAAAAGTATTTTGTGAAAAAAATTCAAATCTTGCACTCCTTGCTATCACCACATGTCTCGACCTGCAACCACAATCATACCAAACCCGAGTAAATTTGGCTACAGAAAAGCCGATAATCGAGTTTTTCACTCTGTGAGTTTCATTTCTCTTACCTTATTTTTCTTTCTTGCTTCAAGAATAGCTTCAATAGATGGCCGCCCTAATCAACAAAGATATCGAGTTCTTTAAAGCAAATATAACCAAACAATCTCGACAAAAAGTTTAAAACTTTTTCAGACTCATTTCATATACCTGTGACTTGAAGTCGATATCTAGCCCAGAACTCATACACAGCATCAGCTACCTTCCCTATCTGCAAACAATCGTGTGTTATTTGTGAAAATCAAAGCAAAAGCTTCTCGTAGATTCGATCTTGCAAAAGATCATTAGAGAGGAGAAGGAGAGGCTTACTGGTTCATATTTGGTGATAGTGTAAACCCATCCGAGACCAACCTCTTCATACAGTCTCCTAAATGCCTAAAAACGTTCCACCAAAAGAAACATCAAAGATCATATGAAATGGATTAGCCTAAAATAGGGTTGGGAAACATTCCTGAACCGAACCAATATTAACCGAATGCCTACCCCTCGCCTAAAACAATGATGCAAAACAAGCTTTACCTCAACACCTGTTACCACATTTCCATTAGATTGAATAGCATGGATTGTTCCCATTACCTAATAATAACGATCTCGATCAAATCGAATCTCAACATCAAAAAGGCAGAGGATAATACAAATTAAGACAGGTTAAATAGAAAATTTACTGTTTTGTAATCAAGCCCTTGATTATCTTCAGGAGAATAATCATTAGAACTTATGTCGACGAATTTTATACTTGCATATTTCTCATTCCTCTCCATAAGCATATTAACCTTTTTAACCCCAAAAAAAAAACAGAACAATTCAGATTCAAACAAAAAAAACTCGTTGGGAAAATTTGAAACAGAGGTTTTGTAATAAGACCTCACGCATACAGAGAGGGCAATCTCCATCGTAAAGCATTTTGATTTTCCAATTCTGAGGTTTTGGTTTTGGATCATCGTGGTTCTTCAATTGTGCAACATGATCAGCACTTGCTCCTTGTATTGCCCTAATTTGATATCTAAACCCTAGTACGAAAAAAAAACAAATACACCAATTGAATGTGAAATGCTAACGCCGAATTTGACGAACCCTAAACATGAATAACTCTAAGAAATTTGTACCATTTGGGACGACTTGAGGATTGAATTTGGGATTGAAACGGTGCGATTGCGGTGTAATTGATCGAAACGAAGGGTTTCTTCGGTGCTTCAATATTACGCACGTAGCAACAGCTCCTCTCGTTGCCATTTTTGTTCTTCTTTGTCGATTTTCAAAAGAAAATTAGTTTTTTTTTTGTTCCTCTCTCTTTAGTTCAACTTATGTGTGGTTATCGGAGGCGTTAATTTCTGGTTGGGAGCCGTACACGTGTCAAAATTTGCGTTGTGTGTTTCAGGGCTGTTTTGCGTTGGACATATCTAAAGACCAGTGAGTGGTTTCTGAATGAAAGACCTTTTGCTGGCATGCATAATCTGATGTTTCTGAAATTCTTCAAGTCCTCTTTGAGCAAAAATCAATCCGAGCTGCATTTACATCGAGGCTTGGAGTATCTGCCCCGTAAACTTAGGTTGCTTCATTGGGATGCATACCCTATGAACATCAATGCCTTTGAGCTTTCGTCCAGAGTTTCTTGTTATGCTAAATCTAAGAGAGAGAGCAAGGTGGAGAAGCTCTGGGAAGGAATACAAGTAAGTAAAATACAATGGATCTCCTTTCTCAGTTCTCATAACATATACTTTTGATCCGATTGTTTTCTTTTGTTTGTTTCATGTGGGGTTTCTTTTGGCCTGTTAGAAGCCTGACGCATATGCATTTGAGTATGTCTGAAAATCTGAAAAAGATTCCAGATCTTTCAAAAGCAGTAAATATCGAGGAACTCTGTCTAAGTCATTGCACAAGTTTGGAGATGTTATCTTCCTTGTTGGAATTTGTGAGGGTTTGTCTCACATAAGAAGAAACACAATCAATTTGTGATTGGTTTTTCATTAACCAACCAAATGAACTCACTTCAACATAATAAAAAATGCATTAGTATGATACACAATCTGAATATTATAAGCAACATAACTAGAGAGTTTGTTGTCATAACCAAAGAAAGGTTCAGTAATCTAATGACTAACTAAGTAAAGAAGAGTTGCACTAGCATGAGACATGAATCCATATTTGAGTAACAACAACACTTAGAGTTTGTGTTCTCATTAAAGAAGGATTAGCTCACTAACTTAGTGTCTAACTGAACAAAAGAAAGAGTTTAGGTGTTTGAAGTATAATTAGACAAGTAATGGTCTGCCATTAAGGCAGACCTAAACTGCATATAATTTACTCTCTACATTGCTTTAATTTAATTAAGCATAAGTAAAGGAGAGAGATGTATACAAATTTAACAAGAACTTGTCTCTTTTATTATGAATTCTATATGTTTTACATTGAGAGAGGGCGCCCTTATATAGAAATTAAACTTGGGCACAAAGACAAAGATTGAAAGTGACAGCACATAACAGCTCTTTTCTTAAGTCACACATGTGACTCTTGCTTCCCTCTACTTCTTTGAATTCAAACAGTTATGGAGGCAAGTGAGGAGCTTCTAGAACACTTGACAACTTCTCTTAGGCGTGCACACACTCCTCCTTACAGTTTGGGCTGGCTTGGTGGAGTTTATGTGGGCTTGTACGGACAGCCCACTAAGAGATTGTATGGACAGCCCAATAAGTTGGGCTTGCAACACACTTCATGACTCCTAAGCCTCCATTGCTTCATATACACATGGTTGATCACCTTCTTGATGTCTTTTACATGTGATGAGCTTCATTCTTGGCTAAGCCACGCTTTGACACTTCTCTTCTTCTTCTTATTTGATGTGGAGATGCTTGGCCTTCACTTCATGTGTGGCCTTCTCATCTCCTCACTCTAATACCCTCCCTCAAGCTTGGGCGTCGGGAGCCATTGGGACCAAAGGCCAAGCTTGCCCACGCAAAGGACTACCTCATTAAAAACCTCATCATGTAAAACCTCTTTGGGATAAAACCATGATGAGGACAAAAAGAGTATAGCCTCCACGGTGCATTAGAATAGCTATGACCTTGGTTTAAACCATTTTGAAAATTGGCTCCTTTCCAAGCCTTCTCACTTTTTAGCTCTTCATGACTTGACTTCTCTTTCATTTGAATCCTTTCTTTGCCATCTCCTTTGAGACTCTTCAGCATTTGAGGCTCTCATTAGTCTCTTTGAGGCTCTTATGGTCTTCTTTTCCCTTAAACAAGAGAATAAAGGAGAAGAGATTAAGTATTGCCATAAGGAATATCAAATAACCAAATGAGGAATATCAAAGCCTAAGAGATATATTAAAGATTAAGATGCACAATTAGTAAATCATAGAGAGAACTGAACATTTTAAGCAAGCAGTTCGAAATAATGTCAATCTGAATTATGCATTCTCAAACAATTTCAAAAAGACATCCAATTAATATTCTCATACTAACTTATGCAATTCAGTCAAACAGAATTATGCATAAATTATGAAGAGTAATTTGACTGCTAAATGAATGAAGTAAGTCATGAAATTAGCACTAATTGAAATAGGAGATAGGGTTTAGAGAACAGCCTTTCAATAGAAGAAGAGTGGTCTTTGAATGGTCCTTTGAATGGACTGAATGAATTTGGTTTGATCTCCATCTATGGGAAAACATCTTGCTAGCAAGCTGATTCATCACTTTCCACCAGTCCAGCAGACTTTCTAGGTGGCCATTGGTTCTAACTCCGAGCTGATTCATCACTTTCCACCAGTCCAGCAGACATTCTAGGTGGCCATTGGTTCTAACTCCGAGCTGATTCATCACTTTCCACCAGTCCAGCAGACATTCTAGGTGGCCATTGGTTCTAACTCCCCTAGTCAAGGATGCGCCAAACACCAAAACACTTGCCTTGCCTTCATGAGACAATCAAGCCAAAAGCACCAAACCCCATTATTACACTTAGAACCTGTAGAGTATAGACAGATTCAAAGCAAACAATAGTGAGAGATGAAGAGTATAAAGTAACCAGAGAATAAGAGTATAAGTAACTATAAGTATGAGAGAATATAAGAGTATGATAGAGTGTAAGCGGAAGTGTAGAGAGAGTATGGTGGAGAATGAGTATGAGCGGAAGCAACATTCAGTCCATGGCCTTCAAGCTTCATGGCTGAGCAACAATGCTGGTGAGGCTTTTAACTTTCCACCAGTCTTTCATCAAAGAGGTGCAAGGACAAACTCTCTTCAAGAGATTTCCTACAATCTCAACAACAAACACATTAGAGTAATTCACATTCAAGTGATTTCTGAGTGTTAAAGAGTTGTGCTAATGGAACAAAACCATTTATTCATCAGCAAAACAAAGCCATTCAAAGCCAAAACATTTTCAAAAACATTTTCCAGAATTTTGAACCTTTCAAAAGAGTTTTTCAAAACCTTTTCATTTCAAGAAAAAATTGCAAAACAATTTTAAAACATTTAAAATAGCTTATCAAAGTCAAAGGTTCATCAAGAACATTTTAAAATATTTTTTAAAAAATACTTTTCGGAATTTTAAAAAATATTTTCCAAAAATCTTCCCAAAAGATTTATCAAGGAAATAATTTCCAAAATAACTTTCAAGCTTGTAACCATCAAGCAAAATTCTCAAAATAATTTAAAATTATTCTGGACCATTTTAAAATATTTTTCAAAGGCAGATTAATTTTAAATCTGTTCCAAAACATTTTTCAAAATTCAAATCCTTTTCAAAGTAATTTGTAAAATCGATTTGAAGAAAGGGTGAATAATTCTCAAAGTAATTTTTTAAGAGTTTTCAAATTCAAAAATCAACTTTCATCCTCTATCCCTCCCTTAAGCATTGGCATATACAGACATAAAGTCTTTTATCCAAGCTTATCAAGAGAAGAGATGGGTAGAGGGAGGAAAGAGTTTGAAAAATAAAACCATTAAAGGTATTTGAAAACCAAACTTCATCCTATCACTCTCTCCTCACGCTTTGGACAAGAGACATCACAAGTCTGTCTACAAAGCTTAACAAGAATGTGAGAGAGAGGAATCCTTGGAATGAAGAAAGAAGAAAGAAGAAAGAAGAAGTGAGTCCAGCCCAAGAGAATAACCTTGCTCTGATACCATGTTGGAATTTGTGAGGGTTTGTCTCACATAAGAAGAAACACAATCAACTTGTGATTGGTTCTTCATTAACCAACCAAATGAACTCACTTCAACATAATAAAAAATGCATTAGTATGATACAGAATCTGAGTATTACAAGCAACATAACTAGAGAGTTTGTTGTCATAACCAAAGAAAGGTTCAGTAATCTAATGACTAACTAAGTAAAGAAGAGTTGCACTAGCATGAGACATGAATCCATATTTGAGTAACAACAACACTTAGAGTTTGTGTTCTCATTAAAGAAGGATTAGCTCACTAACTTAGTGTCTAACTGAACAAAAGAAAGAGTTTAGGTGTTTGAAGTATAATTAGACAAGTAATGGTCTGCCATTAAGGCAGACCTAAACTGCATATAACTCACTCTCTACATTGCTTTAATTTAATTAAGCATAAGTAAAGGAGAGAGATGTATACAAATTTAACAAGAACTTGTCTCTTTTATTATGAATTCTATATGTTTTACATTGAGAGAGGACGCCTTTATATAGAAATTAAACTTGGGCACAAAGACAAAGATTGAAAGTGACAGCACATAACAGCTCTTTTCTTAAATCACACATGTGACTCTTGCTTCCCTCCACTTCTTTGAATTCAAACGGTTATGGAGGCAAGTGAGGAGCTTCTAGAACACTTGACAACTTCTCTTAGGCGTGCACACACTCCTTACAGTTTGGGCTGGCTTGGTGGAGTTTATGTGGGCTTGTACGGACAGCCCACTAAGAGATTGTATGGACAGCCCAATAAGTTGGGCTTGCAACACACTTCATGACTCCTAAGCCTCCATTGCTTCATATACATATGGTTGATCACCTTCTTGATGTCTTTTACATGTGATGAGCTTCATTCTTGGCTAAGCCACGCTTTGACACTTCTCTTCTTCTTCTTATTTGATGTGGAGATGCTTGGCCTTCACTTCATGTGTGGCCTTCTCATCTCCTCACTCTAATATTCCTCAATAAAGAACCTGAAGAAACTGGTTGTTCTTGACATGGAGTACTGCTCAAAGCTCGAGTCTTTGCCAACCAATCTCGACTTGAAATCTCTCAGCATTCTCAATCTCGATAAATGCTCACGGCTGAGAAGCTTTCCACAAGTTTCATCGAATATTGGATTCCTCTCTCTATCAGAAACCGCGATAGAAGAAGTTCCTACAACAATCGCGTCTTGGCCTTGTCAGGCAGCACTGGACATGTCAGGCTGCAAGAACCTCAATACATTTCCATGTCTTCCGGACACTATAGAATGGTTGGATCTGAGCAGGACAGAGATCGAAGAAGTCCCTTTGCGGGTAGAGAAGCTCTTCCGGCTCAATAAACTATTGATGAACAGCTGCCTGAAGCTAAGAAGCATCTCTTCCGGGATTTCTAGGCTGGAACACATCGAAACACTAGATTTCTTGGGGTGCAAGAACGTTGTGAGCTTTCCTCTGGAGATCTTCGAGAGCTCTCGGTTCTGTCATAACCTGGTGATGGAAATAAGAAACATTCAAAACCCTGATATCCCTCGACCGTTTTATTTCAGGAATAACTACATTGACGCAATTCCGGATTGCATCACACGTCATTGCAAGCTGCCTTTTCTATATTCATCAGGATCAGTCTCCAGCAGCAATATAGAGAATAGTTTCATTTGGTTCGATGATGCATTATAATGCATTGCACATATACTGGGATGATGATGATGAGTGAACTGCAACTGTTCTAGGCTATGGTTTGATGTTTATGGAATTGAGAATGATTTATTTGGCGAGGAAAGGCCTAATCTCCAGTTTTTATTGTTGCTGAATTGTACAAGATGTATATATATATATATATATATATATATTTGAATATATAGTAAAATCTATGTATTTACATGATGTTGAAACTGGGATGAGACGCTCAAAGCTTCAACCTATTCTTGAAACAGAGCATATGTATACATCCAAAGCTTGTTCCTTTCTGATGGAAGGGCAAATGTAAAGAAACATAAGAGGATATCATTATGATAGTAAGAAAAATGGGAAGAGCGTTTCGTAATAAATGAGAAGTTGTAGTAGCATTACAACTTTATAAAAGTCAACATCATTGATTTTTCCGCGCAAAAACCAATCATCATCATCCATGAATCTTCCTCTCCACTTGTTTCTTATCTGTTTACTCGTCTTTGAACTCTTTTCTGTGGTTATGTCTCATCTTTGATATTTCTCTCTTTGCTGAAATCATTGTGATCAAATTCTTCTTGCTCTCTATTCATGGCTTCTTCGTCTCGCAATTGTAACTATGATCTCTTCCCGAGCTTCTGTGGAGTAGACGTGCGCAAAAACTTTCTTAGTCACCTTATTGAAAAGCTCAGAAGCAAGGGAATCACACCTTTCATCGATAATGAGATCAAGCGAGGCCAAACTATCGGCCGCGAGCTCGTAGAAGCGATCAGAGAATCAAGGGTTTCCGTTGTCTTGCTCTCCACTAACTACGCTTCCTCAAGCTGGTGTTTGGATGAGTTAGTGGAAATCATGACGTGCAGGAAAAGGGATCAACAAACAGTGATGACCATCTTCTACGGAGTGGATCCATCCGATGTTAGGAAACAGACCGGAGTTTTCGGGAAGGCCTTTGACAAAACCTGTAAGGATAAAACAGAAGAGGTGAAGCAGGCATGGAGGCAAGCTTTGAAGGATGTGGCCGATATAGCTGGTTATCACTCTCTCAACATGTTCGTCCACGTCTACTTCCACTTGCTTATTATATCTATAGCTATTTTTCATGATGAATGTTAGCCTCTGTTTTTGTTAGGGACAATGATGCTGACATGATCAACAAAATTGCCAAAGAAGTTACGGGTGTGTTAGGTTTTACAGAATCAAAAGATTTTGATGACTTTGTTGGCATGGGAGCTCGTATCACGGAGATAAGGTCGGTGCTGAGCCTACAGTTAGATAAAGTTAAGATGATAGGGATCGTGGGTCCTGCTGGGATTGGTAAGACGAGCACTGCCAGAGCTTTATACAACCGATTATCTCGTGATTTTGACTTCAGCACGTTTATTGAGAATATCAGAGGAAGTAATGAGAGGCCTTATCTAGGTGACTCCCATCAATTTCAGTTGGATTATCAGAAGCAGTTGCTGTCTCGGATATTCAACCAAAAGGATATTGAGGTTGGTCACTTGGGAGTGGCTGAAGAAAAGCTGAGAGACAAGAAAGTGCTGGTTGTTCTTGATGAAGTGGATTGCTTGTGGAAACTAGAGGCAATGGCAAAGAAGCCTGAATGGTTTGGTCCCGGAAGTACGATTATCATTACAACAGAGGATAGAAATCTTCTCAAGGGACCCTGGATCAATCATATTTACGAGATGAAACTTCCAAATGGACACGAGGCATTTCAGATCTTCTGCCTATATGCATTTGGTCACAGAACTCCAGATGATTATGGTTTTCATGAGCTTGCTTGGGAAGTTACTGAACTTGCTGGTCGTCTTCCTCTAGGCCTGAGAGTCATGGGATCGTATGTACGAGGAATGACCAAGAAAGAGTGGATACGCGCATTACCAAGGCTCAGGTCTAGACTTGACAGTAAAATTGATACGACTCTAAGATTTGGCTACGACGCCTTAAGTTATAAAGACAAAGCTCTTTTTCTGCATATTGCATGTTTCTTTGTTGGTTTCAAGGTTGATCGCGTTAAAGATTGTCTTGCAAACTGTGCTTTGGACGTCGACTATGGGCTTGTAGTCTTAGCTCAGAAAAGTCTCATATCCACCGACCGCGGATTCGTAGAGATGCATAGTTTACTGCAACAAATGGGTAGAGAAATTGTCAATAAAGAGTATTTGGACGAGCCTGGAAAGCGAAAGTTCTTGATGGATACCACGGAGATTTCTGAGTTACTTGATGATGTAAGTTTTTTTGTTTACATACGCAGTCTTGCATTTCCTTTGGTTTTTTAAGCTGAGATGTACTTCTTTTTGAATAATGTATTCTAGGGTACCGGAACTGTTCTAGGCACAATAGGCATAAAGCTCCAAACTACACAGGGAGAGGAAATCCAAATAAGTAAAAGCGCTTTCCAAGGGATGAACAATCTCCGGTTTCTAAAAGTCAGCTCTCGTACTTCCATACCCGACGGCCTCGACTGTCTTCCCGACAAACTCAGACTTATAGATTGGCACGGCTGTCCATTGAGATTTTGGCCTTCCAACTTCTCTGGCAAGTTTCTTGTCGAACTAATCATGCCCCGCAGCAATTTTCAGAAGCTTTGGGAAGGAATCAAAGTAAAAATAAATACTTGGCATTTTTGTGTGTGTTGTTGTTGTATAGCGTGTAAAGTCTTATTAGTCATTTCTCTAAAACTTATCTGTTCTTTTTTTTTTTTTTGGTATAGCCTCTCCCAAGCCTCAAGCGGATGGATTTGAGTAATTCTCAGTATCTGAAAGAGATTCCAGATCTCTCAAAAGCAACTAGTCTCGAGTCACTAGATCTCTTTGACTGCGAAAGTTTGTTAGAGCTCACAAACTCTATTGGCAATGCCACTAAACTTACAAGCTGCATACTTGGCCGTTGCTCTAGTTTGAAGAAGCTCCCCTCTTCAATCGGTAGTCTTATCAATCTCGAGGAACTGATTCTTAATGGTTGCTCTAGTTTGAAAGAACTTAGTGGTTGCATCTCGAGTTTGAAAAAACTCAGTGGTTGCTCGGGTTTGAAGGAACTCAATCTGAGCCATACTCCGATAGAGGAAATGCCATCATCAATCAGCTCTAATTGGTCTTGTCTTAAACGATTGGATATGACAGGGTGTAGAAACCTCAAGGAGTTCCCAAATGTTCCTTACAGCATTGAAGAGTTGGTGTTGTGCAAGACAAGGATAGTGGAAGTTCCTCCATGGATTGATAATCTATCTTGTTTGCGTAAACTAATTATCTATGGATGCAAGAAGCTGAAAAAGATATCTCCAAACATTTCCAAGTTGGAGAATCTTGAGTTTCTTGGTCTGCGTATCAGTGGCGAAAGTGAATATGATGAATCGGAAATAGATGAGTATGACACTCGCTCGTTTGAAGCAGAGATCAAGTGGGGCCCTGACTTGAAGCGCAGCTGGACATTACTATCAGACTATGAAGTTCACTACATTTTACCGATATGTCTACCCGTGAAGGCGCTATCATTATGTTTACGCAGCAATGGTTTGAAGACTATTCCAGATTGCATCAGACGTCTTTCGGGGCTAAGTAAGCTTAACGTCAGGAAATGCCGAAACCTCGTAGCACTTCCACCGCTTCCAGGTTCCCTTCTATCACTAGATGCACAATACTGCTACTCCTTGAAGAGAATAGACTACCCTTTTCAAAATCCAAATATTTGCCTAAACTTTGCTCACTGCTACAGCCTGAATCAAAAAGCAAGATATCTCATCCATACATCAGCTTGCAAATATGCGCTCCTACCGGGTGAAAAAGTTCCTGCACAATTCCCTTACCGAGCTACATCATGTTCCCTAACGATCAATTTGACTCCAAGACCTCTTCCTTCATCCTTCAGATTCAAAGCTTGCATATTGCTGTCAGGAGACGATAGTAATCTCGAGGATGGGAATCAAATGATGGGTGTGTCTTGTCGGGTCAGCGGTAAACAGAATGGCCTCACTGTCCCATATAGATCAAACCAGCGCGATATGCCTTATGAATATAGATATGACGACTATATGTATATATATGAAGATTATTTCTGCCTAAACCAGTATTGCCCTGAAGCCGAAGAAACCACTTTAAGCGAGCTTGTGTTTAAGTTCATAGTCCATGATAAAACCTGGGAGGTGAAAGGCTGCGGTGTACGACTTTTGGAAGACCCCCATTGTACTACTGACGGAAAGGAAAATAAAGATGAAGAATCTGGATGTGATGATGATGATGATGAAGATTGTGAGGATGAAGAAAATGCAGATGATAATAGGAGTGGTGGTGATGGTGACGATGATGATGAGATTGGTGATGATGGTGACGAAGATGAGAGTGGTGATGATGGTGAAGATTCTGACTGCCTCAACGTGAACCAGAAAGCGAGAAAGCTCATCGAGACATCAGCTTGCAAACCTTTGCTCTTACCGGGTGTAGAAGTGCCTGGAGAGTTCACTCACCAAGCTACATCAGATTCCCTAACGATCGATTTGACTCCAAGACCTCTTCCTTCATCCTTCAGATTTAAAGCTTGCATCTTGCTGTCAAGAAGCGATATTTATTATAATTACTATTATAAGGGTGATGATGAAGAGGATGAAAACTTATTGATGGATGTGTCTTGTGGCTTCAGGGGTAAACAGAATGGCGTCACTGTTCCATATGGATCAAACCAGCACGATATGCCTTATATATATGTAAATGAAGAGCGTCTGTATATATTTGAAGATTCTTTCTGTCTAAACCAGGATTTCCCTGAAGCCGAAGAAGCCACTTTCAGCGAGCTTGTGTTTGAGTTCAAAGTCCATTATAAAAAATTGAAGGTGAAAGGCTGCGGAGTACGACTTTTGGAGGACCCTCATTGTATTATTGCCGGAAAAGAAGTTGGAAACGAAGAAAAATCTGGAGGTGATGAGGATGCAGAGACGAGGAGCAGCAAACGAATGAGGTTTTAAGCTTTGTTTAGGTTATTGGAAACTGTCATTTTGTTGGGTTTTCTCATTCCGTACAATGTAATTTTATCATGAGAAGGATAACTCAGAACCATATGGTCTATGTGACCAGATTTCATGTATTTATTTGAAAATCAGATATTTATAGTTTACTTGTTTTCATAGCTTATAGCGATTTAAATAAAATAGAAGCTGAAAGATCAAGCAAAGATATTTATCAGCAGCTGAAAAAACGAGAACCCCTGTTTATATGACGTGGCATCCTAAATACACAGGTGGCATACGTAATTAAAAAAAAAAATTTTAAGAGTCAAAGGAAGCAGATGAATAATAAAAAGCCAAACTGATAAATTTTTCTTAGCTTCTCTCTCTCAATTACAAACATAAAAATTTCCCCCTTTCTTCCTTTTTTCCCCCAATTCTCGAGTTTTTAGGGTTCTACATCTCTTGCTTTGGGTTTTTCGACATGCGCGCCTTCGTCAAGGATTCTCCGGCTGAAATGGCGGAATCTACGGCGGACGCAACGGCATCAAACGCCGATACTCTGATGCTGCAGTTAAAGAAGGCACTGACGGCGATTCTCGACGACGGAGGAGTAAGCGAAGGTCGCGGTAAGACTGACGGAACTTCTGGAGTCTTGGAAGCAATTGATGAGGCGATTAGGATCCTGAATCGACTGAGGGAAGCTGAATCGAAGAAGCCGGAATCTGATACTTCTTCTTCCGCTTCTTCTAAGGCTTCGTTGCCCAAAGTGCCCAGAGAGTTTCAATGTGCGCTCTCCTATGCGATCATGAGCGAGCCTGTAGTCATCGCTTCTGGGCATGTATGATTTTCTCTTCTCCCCCTTTCTTTAGTAGTTTTGTATTTTTTCATCCAAATTTCTGACGATTTTTTGCTCAATTTTGCCAATCTTTCTATCTATAAGTAGAAATTCTTCGATACATTCAACTGATATGAGTGCTATTTATGTGCTATGTAACTGCACCATGTTGAAACAAAGCTTCATTATCATTGAAATAGAAACCGTGTGTTATGGTTAACATTTGCCAATTAAAAATTTCCATGATTGTGTATGTTTCCATAGAATGTGTTCTTATAGAGGTGTAAGTAGATTGATGCAAAGACGCATATTTCGGGTGCTTGTGCTGATTTTGTTTCTTTTTTCAGACCTATGAAAAAAGATATATCACACAGTGGTTGATGTATAAACAGACGTGCCCCAAAACCAAAGAAGTCCTCTCTCATCGTTTGTGGACTCCGAACAGTTTGATCGATGGGTTGATTACGGAGTGGTGTCGGGTCAACCAATACGACCGGCCAAAACCATCTTATCAAAAACCCATCGGGATGTTCAGTGATTACATAGACGCATTGCTCCAGCGGATTTCATCTCCTTCCTCTGTTGAAGAACAGACAGAAGCTGCAAATGAGGTGCGTCGCCAGACCAAGAGATTTGCCAATGTCCGGGCCTTCTTTGTCGCTGAAATCCCTGATTCGATCACCCGCTTGATCAGTCCGCTCTCTGCTTTCGGCGACGCTGTTGACTCGAATCCGGACCTTCAGAAGAATATCATCACAACATTGCTCAACATCTCGACTCTCGAGGAGAATAAGACGGTAGTTGCTAAAACCCCTCATGTGATCCCACTGCTTACAAAGTCTCTGAAGCAGGGGACAGCTAAGACACGGAGAAACTCTGCGGAGGCTTTGTTTTTACTTTCGGTCGTTGATGCTAACAAGATCATCATGGGGAGCTCGGAAACACTCAGGGCTCTGATAGATGCTATCAAAGATGGTGATTTCTCGGTCACCACAGAAGCGACTGCTGCGGTTTTCAACCTCTGTAACGTGTCGGAGAACAGGGAAAAGGCGGTTTCAGAAGGTTTGATATCCGTGCTGATCAATAAGATCAAAGAAGGAGGCAAGGTGGGTCTGTTGTTAGCTGTATTGGCATATATGATTTCATACGACGGGGCAACTGAAGAAATGGAGGATCCAGAGTTTATCGATCATCTGTTCAGTATCTTGAGGAACCAGAACCGCGCAGAGAATTGCGAGAACGCTGCAACGATCGTGTTTCACATGTGCGACCTGAAAACCGGTGACAGTAACAGAGAAAGGACTATGCTGGAAGCACTAAATGAAGAGGAGCGTAAATACGGGACGTTTACGAAGCTTGCGGAGCAAGGATCAGCTCGTGCAGTGAGTAAAGCTGGAGAGATTTTGCAGAGGCTTGAGAGACACGGTACTGTTCAAGAGCCACAACTGGGATGAAGGAATCACCAGAAAAGGCAGTTTTTCGTAGATACATAAAGATAGCTTTACAAAAACTTACTCTTGAAATTCTTGATACATATACCGATCCAAGATAAGATCGTAAATAGTCTTAGAATTAGAAAGTTTATGAAGGTAGGAGGAAAAGTTGTATAGATAGATAGAATGATAAGTGCCTGAAGAAGGCCTCAGTTTTGCGTACTCTTGACTTTGCTGGAAGGAAAAGTTTAATCGACTTTGCTGCTTTACTGATTCATTTTCCGGCCAGTGGCACGATCGTGAATTGAAGGTTTACAAAAGCAAGGTTCTGTATAACTAACGTTCTGTTGTTAAGTGAATGGCATAATGGTAACTATAAACAAAATTAAGAATTTGACCACATTGAAAATTTGGTGATGCGGGTATGACGTGGCAGTCTATATTGCCTACGTAATAAAAGAAAAATTAAAAGAAAAAAAAAAGAAGAAGCAGATGAATAAACTGAAAAGCTAACTGATACAGATTGTTTTCTTCGCTTCTCACTACTGCTAACAGAAAATTTTCCCCCTCTCTTCCTTATTCCCCAAACCTCGACATTTGCTTTGGGTTTCCGCGCGATCGTCGAGAAATCTCCGGCTGAAATGGCGGATTCGACCTCGGACGCAACGGCGGCAAACGCCGATACTCTGAAGAATGAGTTAAGTAAGATACTGACGGAGATTTTTTCCTACGGAGGAGAAATCAAAGATCGCGGCGAAACCGACGGAAGTTTAGGAGTCTTGAAAGCAATTGATGAGGCGATTACAATCCTGACTTCTCTGAGGGAAATTGAATCGAAGAAGCCAGAATCTGATATTTCTACTTCTGCTTCGTTGCCTGAAGTGCCGAAAGTGTTTAAATGTACGCTCTCGAATGCTATCATGATCGAACCTGTAGTCATAGCTTCTGGGCAGGTATGATGAATTTGTTTCCCTTTCTTTAGTAATTTTGTATTTTCTTTTACAAATCTCTCACGATTCTTGCTCGGCTTTTGCTAATCTTCCTGTCTGCAAGTATAGCGTTTGATATAGCCTTATGAATATTAAGTTATATGTGTATATCATCGAATGGAAAAAGAAACAGATTTATATGGTTGACATTGTCCATGGCTGTGTATATTCGTATCGACTGTGTGGTTATTATATACAGAGATGTTTCATAGGAGTAGATAGAAACAGATGGAGGATTGTGTATACAGCAAATGTAAAGTTTCTTTAAAGTTAGGAGTCAAGAAGACCTATGAATATGATGATGTTTGTGCTGATATTTGCTCATTTGCTGATTTTGTCCCTTTCGTTTTTTTTTTCCAGACGTATGAGAAAAGCTATATCACACAGTGGCTGAATTATGAAAATAAATGTCCCAAAACCGGTGAAGTGCTCTCTAACACTCTGTGGACGCGGAACCATCTTGTCGATGAGTTGATTACGCAATGGTGTCGAGACTTCAAATACGACCGGCTAAAGCCACCTGATGAGATAGTCACTGAGCTCTCCGAAGATGGAATAGAGTCACTGCTTGAGCGTATCTCCTCTCCTTCCTCAGACGAAGATCAGAGAGAAGCTTCAAAAGAGCTTCGCAGACAGACCAAGAAATTTCCCAATGTCCGACATTTCTTTGGATCAGAGGATAAGATCGCCCGATTGCTCAGTCCTCTCTCTGCTTTGGACAATACTGTTAACTCGGAACCGGAGCTTCATGAGGATATCGTCACAGCACTGTTCAACATCTCGGATGATGAGAAGAGTAAAACAGCAATTGCTAGAAACTCTTTGGCGATCCCACTGCTTAAGAAGTCTCTGAGACAGGGGACAATGAAGGCGCGAAGAAACTCTGCAGCGACGCTATTGTCGGTTTTAGCCAGTGACGATTCTTACGCGACTTCAAAATTACTCGAGCCTCTTGTACATCTTATTAGTGAGGGTGATTTGCTGGGCACTGTAGAAGCCGCTACCTTGGTTTTCAAACTCAGGCTTCTACCAAGGGAGAGTTACAAACCCGCGATTTCAGCGCTGATCAGGAAGATCGTTAAAGGAAACCATGCGCGTGAGTTGTTTGTTGTCTTGGCATGGTTTTCTGCACTCGAGGAGACGATTTTTATAATGGAGGACAAGGAGTTTACCGAACATCTGTTCAGCTTCTTGAGGAAACCGAGTTGTTGCTCAATGACTTGCGAGAACGGTTTGGTGATCGTGCTCAACATGTTAAGCCTGTCTCACAAAAACAGCGTGAAGACTAGCCTGGCTGTAGTCGATGAAGAGGAGTTGAAATACGGGACATTTACGAAGCTTGCGAAGCAAGGATCAGATGGTGTGGCGGGAATAGCAAAAGTGATTCTACAGTGGATCAAGAGATTCGGTAGTGGTAAAGAACCACTGCTGGGAAGAAGGAATTGCTGAAAACCAGGTCTTGCTGATACAAACATACATACAAATAGTTTCGACAACTTACTCTCTGATTCGTTTACGGATATCAAGATTTGATTTGTAGTTAGTAAAAAGTCTTAGAAAGTTCAGAAAGATTGAAGGAAAAGTTGTATAGTTTCTCTGAGAATTGAAGTTTTGCTACTCTTAATTGACTTTGCTGTTTCGGATTCATTTTTCCGGCTACTGACACGATGGTGAATTGAAGGTTTTGAAGGATTAGAAATGCTTTTTTGTTAAGTGAATGGCTATATGCTGGACAGCTATAACCTTATAAATTAATCGCTAACCTTGTTTAGTAACAAGCCAATTTCATTTAAGCTCCTATCTAATTTTTTCGTTTACACTTCAAAACAGTAATTTGAGACGTGCAAGTTGTAACAGACACTTATCCCAACAAAAAAAAAATTTATATATTCATTTTGGTAGAACATCGAATGAAAAAATGGAATATCTTCTTAATGACAATTGTTAAATAAATAATTAATATAAACTATTTTTAACCAAATTAATGAAAGTGACAAAAAAATAAATCTGTAAAACAGATTATAAAAAAAGTTAACAAAATTAAAGAAATAATCAATATGATATATTGAATATTTAATAAATATTTTGGCTGAACATCGAAAAACAAATATCTTCATAATGACCATTATTAGATAAATAATTAATATAGACTATTTTTAACTAAATTAATGAAAGTGACAAAAATTATTAATTATTTAGTTACTTCAATTTATTTTTATAGTTGTTTTTAGTCAATTCTCTTGTCATGCTTGACACATCATTATGGAAGTTTTGTAAATCACATAAGAGATTTTTTTTTAATATTATTTCTCAGCTTATATATGTGTGTTATTAGAATTAAACAAAAAAACACTATAGTTAAGGGTGTAAATTACCAATAATGTACTATGGTCTAAAAACGATCTTAGTTGGTACTTGGTAGTAAAGTTTCATTAAAAAAAAAAAACTAAACATTGCACGAAATCATTAATATCATATAGCATGCGTAGTAGTAGTAATACATTCAATTGGTCTTTTATTAAGATAAGAAATTATCGCAAAATCTGGGTTTTTTTGCTGGCCAATGAGAATGTGGATGTAATTTGATTCCCAGAAAAGAATGCATAGAATCTGGATGTAATTTGACGTGGCAGTCTATATATACACAGGTGGCGTACGTAATTAAAACAAAAACAAAAAATTAACAAAGCAGAAAAAAGGTAAAAAAGCAGATGAAGAATCAATAAACCTCAAATTAAAAAAGCCAACTGATACAAATTGTGTTTCTTTCTCTCCTCTCTCTCTCAATTGCGAACTGAAAGATTTCCTCTTTTCTTCTTTTCCCCCAATTCTCGAGTTTCTAAAGGTTTTACTTCTTTCGGTTGGGTTTTCGTACGCCCGTCGAGAAATGTCCGGCTGATGAGGCGGATTCAACGGCGGACTCCACGGCAGCAAACGCCGACACTCTGAAGCGGGAGTTTTAAGAGGATACTTGCGGAGATTTTACCCTACAGAGGAGGAGGAAGCGAAGATCGCGGTGAGACTGACGGAATTTTCTGGAGTCTTGATTCTTGAAAGCAATTGATGAGGCGAATAGAATCATGAGTTGTCTGACGGAAGTAGAATCGGAGAAGCCGGAAACTGATGTTCCTTCGTCTTCTCCGTCGCGGAAGGTGGAAGTGCCGAAAGAGTTTAAGTGTACACTCTCGAAGAAGATCATGATCGAACCTGTGATCATAGCTTCTGGGCAGGTTTGATTTCTCCTTTTTTATTCGTAATTTTCTTTCTTTTTTCCAAAATTTCTGACAGTTTTTTTGGGATTCTCGATTAAATTTAGCTACTCTTTTCTCTTTGCAAGTATAACCTTCGATGAATGCTAGTTATCTACATATACATGCACCCTTCTTTTAAACAAAGTTTCATTGTCATCGGAAAAAGAAACAGAGTTATTGACCTTATGGTTGACATTGCCAAGAAACTCCATGATTGTGTATGTTTGAATGGTTATCGAATCGAATATGTGCACAGTGTGTGTGCTCATATACATACAGAGAAATTTCGTAACATAGACCGATCGAGTTTCTTGAAAGTTTGGATTTTGCTGGTGTTTGTGCTGATTTTGCTCTTGCTTTATTGTGTTTATATTTTTAGACTTTTGAGAAGAGATATATCACAGAGTGGCTGAGGCATGAACGTACATGTCCCAAAAGCAACGCAGTCCTCTCTCACTTACTGTTGATACCGAACCATTTGATCGACGAGTTGATTACGCAGTGGTGCCTAGTTAACAATTATGAGCGGCCAAGATCATCCGAAGAAACAGTGACTGAGCTGTTCACTGATGGAATAGACGCATTGCTTCAGCGGATTTCATCTCCTTCCTCCGTTTCAGATCAGACAGAAGCTGCACAAGAGCTGCGCATCCGGACCAAGAAATCAGCCAGTGTCCGGGTCTTCCTTGTCGCGGAACTCCCTGATTCGATCACCCGGTTGCTCAGTCCGCTCTCTGCTCTGGGCGAGGAGGCGGCTGACTCGAATCCCGAGCTTCAGGAGTATCTAATCACGACATTGTTCAACATCTCGATCGTTGAGAAGAATAAAAAAGCGATTGCTGAAAACCCTCACGTGATCCCACTGCTTACAAAGTCTCTGAAGCAGGGGACAGCTGAGACGCGGAGAAACTCTGCAGCGACTTTGTTGTCACTTTCAGCGATTGATTCCAACAAGATCATCATGGGGAACTCAGAAGTACTCAAGGCTCTGATACATGTTATCGAAGAGGGTGATTTGTTAACCACCACAGAAGCAGCTTCGGTGGTTTTCAACCTCTGTATGGTGTCGGAGAACAGGAAAAAGGCGGTTTCAGCGGGTTTGATTCAAGTGTTGATCAAAAAGATCAAAGCAGGAAGCAATGCGGCTGAACTGTTGGCTGTTTTGGCATTGAACTCTAAACACAACCGTGCGGTTGAAGAAATGGATGATCTAGGGTTTATCTATGATCTGTTCAGTATCTTGAGAAAACCCAGTTCCCCAGTGACTCAAGAGAATGCTATAGTGATCGTCTTTAACATGTATGACAGAAACAGGGACAGGACTCGACTGAAGGTGCTCAGAGAAGAAGAAAACCTATACGGGACATTTACGGAGCTTGCAAGGCAAGGATCAGATCGTACAGTGAGAAAAGCAGAAGCGATTTTACAGTGGCTTAAGAGATACGGTACCGGTAAATGGCCACTAAGGGGATGAATGAGTCGCCAAAACTAGGTCTTGTTGTTACATAAATAGCCTAGCATACTTACTGTTGATAATAATACTAATCCAAAATTGACCGAAAGTAGAACAAGTAGCAGAAGGAAAAAGTGTATTTGTAGTTTCTCAGAGAATAAAAAGTGTTTAAAGAGGGCCTGAGTTTGATGATATATATGATTCATATTCCAGCTGGTGGCACTATCGTAAATCAAGGGATGTAAAAATGAACGGCGGCTATTGTGACCGGTCATAGTCGACTCCAATTAACCGAAAGCAACAACGTAAACTATTTAAGAATTATTAAGATAATTAATTAGTTTTGTTTCAAAAGATAAATTACTTACTTGTTAAAGGAGTAGTGATTATGGTGGGGTTAGCTGGTTCTTAATGATCTTGTTGAGGGTGTCGGCGGTAATTGATTGAGCTAAGGTAGGGCTTAATCTGGAAAAGAAAAAATAAAGAGAGAAGACTATAAGAAGTGGTGATGTAACATGGAGAATTAAAGCAACGTAAAGACTCTGTAGCAAAACACCACACACTCACCAATCACTATGACTGGTTTCTTCTTATCCACCGTATACACTGTTCTGCATGATAATCAGATATTCATAAAATGATGTACGAACAAATTAATTTGGGAGGCACAATATGAATTGTTAGGTTTAAATGCACCTACATTACGATTTCTTGGTTAAGAAGCAATTGGTATCTTTTTGGTTAATAAAATTTTGGCTTTTCCTTGATCATGATTAACCGCAATATAAAGACGTATCGGATGTCTATGATCGTCTCTTTGTATAGTGAAAAATTATGATATAAAAATTGAAAATAAAACATGAAATATATATACAGTATTTATTTTTTGAATTATATATATATATACAGTATTTAAGATTTAAAAAAAAAGTTGAATATATATATATAAAGATTTTTAAAAAGTTGAATATGATCCGTAATTTTTAATGAGCAGGCTCTGTTGGCTACACAAATTAATTAGCATGATATTCTCATAAACTTGAGTCACGGGAGAATCAAAATTCAAAAGTGGCATGAGTGACATTTGACTCCAAGGGACAACGTTATGGTGGCGTTGGTTAGGCAGCCCATCTAGTCATCTACCGACGACTTTTGTTACTTTTATTTATAATGTGTTTTGCTACTTGCTAGTTTGATATTTTGGACTTTTTTACCTAACATAAGCCTAAAATTTTACAACCAAATTCTATCTTTTTCATAAAATTCTATCACTTTCATGTATTGACTTGTAGGTATAGCATTCAAAACATGAATGTCTTTATCGGCGACAGTATATATACTTCTCAAAAACGATTTAGCTTGATATACCATATTTGGTTGAATTTGCAGTGCAGAATAAAACTTATAATTAAGATTATCTCAACAAAGAAAGATGCACTCTCCATTAAAAACAATCTCTTAAAAGTAACACACACACACAAAATGTTTAGAACATACGTGACGTGACAAAAAAAAAATTAGAAAGTAGAAATGTAATAAGAGCACTACGAAACTGATAATCCTTTACCGAGAAGCAAAAGGACAACTACGCTATTACTCTGTTCCTCTTTTTCTATAAACCATTAGTATGCTCCTTTGTTCTTTTTGCCAAAGCCACGTATATATATTTATATCATATGTGTATATTAAATGAAATCAAACAAAAAAAAAAACAAATTACATTATTCATTCATAAGAAACTCCTACTTTTTCCTCTTCTTCTCTTCTTTTTTTTCACGCACATGGAACCAAACATGCTAAAAAGCCAGGCATTCTCTTCTGCAACACCAAATTAATTAAACAAATATTTTTAAATAAAGAACAGTAAAAGAGGATTAAAAAGTATGACATATAAACGTAAACAATCGTGAATTCCATCCATCAGTTCACATCAGACTTTTAGAAGAAAAGTGATACAAATTGAAAGACTCTTCTGATAAATATAAATACTAATATAAGATTTATGCCAACTAATTTTTTAATCAAAGAATTGAAAAAATAATTTGAAAGTAATAGTTATTTTGTTACACATTAAATAGTCTATTATAAGATTATGGCAACTAGTTTCTTCTAATAAAAAATATTGAACAAAGAAATTTGGAAAAAAAAATTGTCACACATTAAATAATTATCATCAAATTGTATTAAAAACAGTTTTAGAATATGCGTGAGAATCAGATGTGAGTTTAATTACCCTTCTTGAAGAATGTATAAGCTCAGGAGGAATCTTGTAGAGATCCTCATCAACGGGCTTAGGCTGCTTTGAAGCCGGAGCGGCGTCGTTTCGGAATTGCTTCACTCCGTTGACGTCAACGTAATACTTGTCCGTCTGTGCACTGACGTCACGCACGCGCCTTTGTGGGCCCCTCTTTTCCCTCGTCCCCGCCGTCTACGGCAAGTCATTAACCACAAACAACGCGTTCTTCTTTAGATGATTATACATCGATCGAGTTAAATAATCATAAATATGAATAAAAAATGAACCTGTCTTGAAGGATGGTGGTGACGTGGACGGGGATGGTGAGAGGCAAGCTTTAGGGCTTCTGCAGAAGAAGAAGAAGATGAAGAAGTGGTAGTGGAAGAAGAAGAAGAAGTGAAGTGATGATGGTGACGAAGCAGACCAGCTTGTCTTGGATTCTCGAAGTATTGTGTTATTGGCATCTCATTTGCTTCCTCCCATTCTCCAAACCTCGGAATCTGTCCGCTCTTCTTCTTGTAATCATTCTCATATCTACCCTGTGTCCCCATTTATTTCATCCAATTATTTGTTAGTACATGAATATATGCTAATTAGTATCTAATCAAGAGAACCCAAAATCCCCTCAGAACTCAAGAACCCTATAACTAATCAGAATCAAGAACCAAGAGCTCACAAGAAACGAGGATTTATAAGTCAAGAACCTTGAAGGGCCAAACACGTGACCGAGTTTGGCACTTAGCGTATCTATGAATATTCTATAAGCGAGAGAAAGAGATATTGGTGAAGATAATTTGCCAAAAAAAGAGAGAGAAAAAACTTTTAGAATGTTAAAAGACGACAGAAAGAACACAAGGAAGGAGGATTAAAGAAGTTCACTTACATGAGCCATGACGATTTCTTTCTGTAACTATCTCTCTCCACGCACTAATACACAAAAATAAGAGAGTGATCTCCAGAAAGGTTACTGTCTTTTATAACAAGAGTGGGGTATGTAGGCAAAAAAATAAATTGTCCTTTTCTTATCAACAGTCAACTATGAGAGAGAGAGAGAGGAAGTTTGATATATTTTATTAAGATTTTCCTTTCTTTCTGAATAAAAAGATAGTGAGGAGTAGAGTCCCTTCTAAGTTTGTTTGATTGGAAAAATCAATTGCATAGATCTTAAATTTTAGTGTTAACGTTTCCAAAAACTTATGTGTTAATAGTTTTAGTTCAATCCAAGTTAGTAGATCTCACAGATGTTTTTACATATTTATTGAAAAGTTATCAATATAATTTGAATATATACAACGTTACCATTTACATATAACAAGACGATATATAGTTTATAAATCATTACTATAGATTGATCACTACTCCCTCACATTAATATAGATTGAACTTCAGAAATTTCTGATAAAAATGAAGAAGAAAAAATCTAAAGTTAAAGAGTGTGTGGGAAGGTAGGAAAAAAAGAGAGACGAAACGCATTAGTCTTCAGCTTTTAGTTAAGTTTTGTCAGTGACACATTTATTTTACGTTACAGTCCATTTCAAAATCTACCCCCTTTGTTGACAAAGATGTCCACTTTATAATAATAAAAAATTGAATTAGCATTTCATACACTTATTATGTTTTACGAATACGTATATCTAACTATGATTATGTTCTTACTATTCTGATGATCGACTATTATATTGTCGGCTCTCTGTTCACATGGAATTCCTGAACTTTTTTATGATGGATATAATATTTAATTATTAGCTGATATGAATACGTAGCACATTTTGATGATTCCTTGTAGTATATCATAAATTTCTAGTTTTTTTCATTATGTTCAATCAATGAGCCTATAAAAGGAATGGAAACATTTTAGCGTTTTACATTTGAGTGTGACAGCGATATTATTCATAAATAATTAAATACACATTGAAAATACTATAACAAATAGGACATCATAAATTCAATTTATATTACTATCGGTCCAAACTGAAACCAGACGTTAAGTTGCAGCCTGGCCTCGTGGAGTGAAATCCGGTCAGAAATAAACAAGTCTTGACTTTTCTTTGTCGTTGACCAAATTGCTATTTTCCCAATGGGAAAATTAGAAAATTACCCACACCTATTTAATCTTCCTTTTTTATCATTATAATTTCAGTAAAGATAACTATTATAATACAAGCCATAATTAGTTGACCAAGTCACAGACTCATAGTTGTATTTTCTTCTAAATTTAATGATAGCTAAATATGTTTTTGGAGTTCCAAAACCAAAATCTATATTGATTAATAGGTTTGCGAAATGTTATGTAGTATAGCCATTTACAGTGAATAGTTACAATGATCGATGGCTATTAAAATTGCAGTAAAAAAGAAAAATAAAAAAACTCAATCTTTCAGTATTTAGTACATTTTCCAACTACTATGAACTGGTTAATATAGCTATTTCAAAATCGTAACTACTGAATAAAGTAAAACGTTTGGTAAAGAAAAAACTATGGAATAAATCATTCACCATTTATAGGTTTGCATTAATAAAAAAAAACGCATGCTTTAGTCTTCAGAAAGCAACCTTATTTATTAAAGTTTCGTTAATTTAACCAACTAATGAAAATGTTTCAGTTACCAAATCCATGGCGTTACATTTGAAAAAGTAGTTTTTGCTGTTGTTAGTTTTGCGCCTATGGGTAAATTTATAGCTTATGATGATGATGTGTCATAAATATGTGGTTGGCGTAAGCTTGACGATGACGGTGAAGAGGTTTAGGAGGAGTCTTTGAGAAATTCGCAGTCAAAGTTCACATTTTAAAAGTCAAACCTTTTTTGGCTGCCATACTCCTTTTTTGAACAACAACATTTTTATTAAACCAAAAACACTCAGTTTACAAATTTGTCAGCTACGTGCAGTTGTGCATTTATCTGTCGGCTCAAAAAGGTTTTTTTTTCTATGCATCATAATACCATAAGTTGAAGCTACTACATGTTTTATTTATAAACTTTATTTCTGTATATATAAAATAATGGTACTTGCAATAATTTTTATATATTTTATTATAAAATTTTTTTTTTGGTCAACATTTTATTATAAATTTAACCGTAAAATTTTGAGCTACTTTCTCACAATACAGTTTTTTTTTTTTTTTCACAATACAGTTTCGGTTGTTTGCAAGCAACACATTTTGGATCATTTAATTTTTAGGTTTTTGTTCAGACTCAGTGACTTATCCAACGAAAGATTTAGGGACATTTTCTGTGTTTCTGCTCAACCTTGATCAATTTGAAACTACATATTATCAGAAATCTAGATATCTGATATCTGATCATAAAAACTAGATATCTGATAATAAAAACTAAAAAGTAGAGCTACACATTTTTAACATGAGCTAGGTATTTACCCGTGCTACGCTGTGGGATATTTTTCTAAATTTTGTATATATTTTTAATATAATAAAATTATTTTTATAATTTAATTGAGTATTATATTTTTCTATTAGCTTAAGTTATGTATTTATATGTTTTTAATTTAAATAAACATTATATATCCTTAATTCTTTTTTATTTTTTCAAATTATAATTTGCTATTAAATTTGTTTAGCTAACTAATTATATATGTATATGTAAGAATAAAGCAATATATTTTTTAGTACCTTCATGCTAATGTCAAATGTAATATATTTTCTCCAATAAATTATCACTTGATTCTCCTTTATAATTATATAAAGTAAAATATCATTTTAAAAAAAGATTTCTGATTATCTTGAATTATAAGATTTATTTATTTATCAAATATTTGTTATAAACATATGTTTCTAAAACTACTAAACTATAATCAATAACATTCATATCAAAATCATTGATGTTTGAATTGTTGAAATATCGTTTTAGTTGAAGTTAAATAATTAAATTTTGGTTACTGTAAACATACTTTAACTTGAAAATTTAGCACAAAGAAATTTCATCTTCTTACAAAAACCGAGAAATCGCATTTTCCATCAAAACAAAAAAATTTCACTTTCACATGAAACTCAGAAAGCGCCTATTCCCGCCAAAACAAAAAAAAAAATCATTTTCTTGTCAAACCCAAAACCTAAAATTTTATTTTCCCGCGAGAACCTGAGTTTTCTCGCCAAAACCTAAAAATCACATTTTTTCACCAAAACAAAAAAAAAAATCATCTTTCTGCAAAAACCAAAAAATTGTATTTTCCCGTCAAAACCGAAAAATTTATTTTCCTGCAAAAACCGAGAAATCTTCTATTCCCGCCAAAACCAAAAATTCATTTTTTTGTCAAACCAAGAATCTTTCCTACCAAAACAAATAAACTACAATTTTTCGCAAAAACCTAAAATTGCATTATCTCCCGAGAAATTGTGTTTTTCTGTGAAAACTAAGAAATTGTATTTTTCCGCAAAAACAAAAAAAATCACATTATTTGTCAAAAATTGAAAATTTGCATTTCCCATCAAAACCAAGAAATTGTTTATTCCTGCCAAAATCGTCAAATTTCAATTTTCTGCGAAAACTAAAAAATCATATTTTTGCGTTAAAACCAAGAAATCGCATTATCCGTCAAAAGCCAAAAATTTGCATTTCCTATTAAACTGAGAGATCACATTTTTTTTCAAAATTGAAAAGTTGCATTTCTCATCAAAACCGAGTATTTTTCTGTCAAAACTAAGATATTTTGTTTTCCCGTCAAAATTATTTTTTTTTTGTTTTCTCACAAAAACCAAAAATTCACATTTTCTCGCCAAATCTGAATTTTCACTTTTTTCCGCCATAACCGAGAAATTATGTTTTGCTACCAACATTAAAAACCATATTTTCCTACCGAAACCAAGAAATCTCCTATTCCTGGCAAAACAGAGAAATTCCATATTCTCGCCAAAGCTAAAAAAAAATTGTTTTCTCGTCGAACTAAGAAATCATGTTTTCCTAATAAAATTGAGAAATTATATTTTTCCGCCAAAATTGTCAAATTGTATTTTTCCACAAAAATTATAAAATTATATTTTCGTACGAAAACCAAGAAATTGCATTATCCATCAAACATAGAAAATTGTGTTGCCCATCAAAAACAAAGATTTTTTTTTATTTGTTATTATTTATTATTTGGGCTTTAGTTTGACAAAAAATAAAATAAATATTTTTTTATTTACTGTTATTAATTATTTGGACTTGGATTTGGTAAAAAATAAAACAATGATTAATAGAAAAAGTATTTGGGTTTTTAATAGATTTAAGTTTATAAATGAAAATAAGAAGATGAGTTGTATTAATAAAATGTTTTGATTGGTGAATATTTTTGCTGATGTGTCATCTTTAGAAAGCTTCAAAATGTTGATGTGTCATCTTTAGGAGAGACATTGGTGTTATTGTTGTATTGACTAGCAAACTATTATGTGATTGCAAACTATTATGTGATTTATATATTCTTAGGTTGCAAGTTTACGCACAAATATTTACAGTCACCCTTTTTATCAAAATTTAAATTCAGAAAATGAATGTATAACAAAATTTTAGTCGTACACTTAAAAATACTAATATAGCCCACAATAGGGGGAAGCTCGGCCCATATATTCTTAAGACACTCGGATTGTCAAATTCCGATAGTCAAGAGAATTCCAAACATTAAGTGTGTCTAAACCTCGTCATATCGGTTTGATTCAACTTTTCTTATTTCAATCTTAATAATCTTGACTAAACAGACCATAAGCTTATGACAAGGCTAGAGATCCATAATATAAAATCTCAACGAATTTATGTCTACTTGGTTTTGGAAGGAACCCACCGCCGTGGAGAGAGTACTCGAACTCGATCATGGAAACTGACCATATCTATATGATTATAGATGATATGTTGTACAACACAACAGTACAATCTTATCAAACCAAAGCCAAATAGATTTAAAACATTCTCTATATATAATGCAATCTTCTCCTCTAGATTTTTTTAAAAAGACATAATGTCGATAATCGATCTTGCCTATTGGAGGTTTCAATATTTGTTTTGGAGTACTACTAAACCAATAAATAGTAGACAAAGACAAAATCTCCAATAATTAACAAACCCATTATAGAATTACGTAGGCCCTGGCCTCTCTGGTAAATACTATTTTTCTCTGCAAACTTTTCATTTTTGTGCCTAAACATCTAATAAAATCCAGGTAACAGTTATCCCAAGTTAGGTGAGTCACTCAAACATATCTTCTTTTAACATATAAAAAGAAAATTATTTTTGACTGGCCTACCCCTTAAAATATACTATCCTTCCTTTTTCAAGAAGGACAAATAAAACAAGACAACACAATCTTCTTATTTAAAACCCAAATACGTTCAAGAAACAAAAAAAAAAGATACGCACAACAGAATAGTCGTGGGTTCGCCGGAAAGTAAAAAAAGATGAATGCGGTGAGGTCAGCGTTAGGCGATATGGTGATAACCTTCTTCTGGGTTATTCTCTCGTCGACGTTTAGGATGCAGACGGCGGCGATTATTTCCGCCGCCGGGTTTCATGGCATCACTTGGGCGCCTCCGTTGGTTACAACGCTGGTCATTTTCGTCTCCATCTCGATTTTTGCGGTTATCGGTGACTTTCTCGGCGGCGCTAGCTTCAGTCCTTGCGGAAACGCAGCGTTTTATACCGCCGGCGTTTCCGGAGATTCTCTCTTCTCCTTAGCCCTTAGATCTCCTGCTCAGGTACTAGCTTTTGAAACCGAATCATTTTTATTTTTTGCTTTTGATAATTGTGACATCATTTCGCATGAGTAATAGCTTTTGCGTCCTGTCTTTTCGAAATAGCATCTATGAAAGCATGATCTTTACACATTTTTATTGAATATCTTACAATTATTGTTTTTGGTTCCATGTTAACACACATTATTGAGAGGCTATCAATGAGAGCAGCAATGAAAACCTATCTTCTTTCGTTTTGTTGGCTTTATGTGAACTTTCTTGCGTGTGTCCGTATGTGTTCTTGAAGAACATATACATTGAGACATTCTTAACCGTAGATTTTTGCTGGTACCCGCTGGCATTATTTTTTTTGTTTGTTTCCCATATATATTTTTAATATGTTTTTTTTTATATCATGATATAGCTTTTGGTGCCTTTTTCTGAAAAAAATCATTTTTAAAATAATATGTAAAATTTATGTGACCTCTTATAGGCAGTTGGTGCAGCAGGAGGTGCGACGATGGTCATGGAGATGATACCGGAAAAATATAAGTCTATGATTGGAGTGCCTTTATGGAAAGTTGATGCACACGTTGGAGCTGCTTCAGAAGTGGTTCTAAATTTTTGTATTACATTTTTGGTTTTGCTAATTATCCTAAGAGGTCCTCGAAGACTCCTCGCTAAGACTTTCTTGCTTGCTGTCGCTACCGTCTCACTGTTTCTCGCAGGATCTAATTTCACTAGACCATTCATGAATCCTGCCATTGTAAGTTTCATTGTTGATCCTAGCTACGATATACAGTTTTTTTTGAGATTTGTAAATGATTAATATTGACAGTCTTATTATGGTATTGTGATGCAGGCATTTGGGTGGGCATATTTTTACAAGTCTCATAACGTATGGGACCATTTCTATGTATATTGGATCAGCTCCTTCACCGGAACTTTTTTATCTGCGACGCTCTTTCGGACTCTATTTCCACCGCCGCTGCCTCCGGCTCAGAAGAAACAGAAGAAAGCCTGAGAAATTATGGAAATTTGATAAAAGTCAAGATTTCATGAATTATCCTCTTTGTTTAATGTTTTTTTTGTTGTTTTAGTCTTAAAGATTTCTTCGTCGTCATAATTTGTACTTTGTAAGACTCCAGAATTTCTCCGGTTGTGCGCAATTGACTTGACTCACTCTCATCCGGCTTTATTACCACTTAACCAACCTATTCTAACCAAATTGAACCGGTCAAGTCTTGTACATCGATGTTTAACCGGTCAAGTCATGTACATCGATGTTTAACCGGTCAAATTTACACAGCTGTTGTTTGGTTGGTCCGTTTAGGAGGCTCACCATTACTTCTTTTGTGTAAGAAAAATAATTAAATTATTTTTTGGGTTCAAACAGAAAAATAAGTAATTATATATGAAAAGTAAATTCAAAGTCAAGATCGAATGAAAAAATTGGGGTTGTGAATGTAAAATCACGCAAATATTATGATACATTTTATAAATTTTGGTTTTCTTCTCACCCGGTAAAATTTTCAATATTTTTAACTGATTGTGGGAGTTACTACTAGAATCATCTCTCCCGCAATCGTAAAAAAGCCAATTAACGTCTTTTGTTTGTTTCTATCGCACAAATACAGATCTGGAGCAAAAGTTGAAATCGAAGCTTTTCTCCAGATCAATTCGGCGATACTAGGCCGGCTCTTGAAATTCATCTTTCGATCTGGAGCCGTCACAGGATCCGCCGCAGACCACGGCGTCCTCCGGCACCGGCAACGGCAACGGTAAGATACGCTACCGTTCGCCTTCCTCCACTGAGCTCCTGGAGTCCGGAACTGCCGCTGTTTCCTCCGGTCACCATTCTCCTCCCACCTCCGACTCTCATCAGGGGCTTCTCTCTGTTGACGGAGGGAAGATGACGGCGAAGCGCGGCATTGGACGGCACGAGTCTCTTGCCGATAAGATCCAACGCCACCGCGGTATTCTGCTCGTGATTTCGGTTCCCATTGTGCTGATCGGTCTCGTTCTTCTGCTAATGCCTGGGAGATCGACATCTGACGCCGTCGTCGAAGAGTACACGGTGCATAACCGCAAGGGAGGCCCGAATTCTAGGAGCCCGAAGAACTACGCCGTGATTTTTGATGCTGGGAGTTCCGGAAGCCGTGTACATGTTTACTGCTTTGATCAGAATTTGGATCTTCTTCCTCTCGGAAATGAACTCGAGCTCTTCCTACAGGTAACAACAACATTGGTGTAGCTTGATTCAGTTTCACTAGAACTACTATTTACCTGCAGCGCTTGATAGATCCTCGTGTCGTTTAGCTTGATTCAGTTTTCTTATGGTGATTCATTCGTCATTGGTACATTTGTGCTATTTTAAGTTGATATGAGTGTTAATGTGTGGAAAGACTTTGGGCAATTTCGCTAGAGCTTATTTCATATATCCGTCTTCTACATTTGGTAATCGCAATTCGCAATATCTCGCCGTGAGGCAAAGCTTCACTGATTAAATATGAAGTGTATAGCTTTGCTGTCAATGTATATAATTGGCATGAACTCTGTGTTCCTTCCTGGAATGTCAGGAAGCTTGAACTCGCCTAACCAGCATCACGCAGTTCCTTGTTTCATTATATATACCCATAGCTTGTTGAAACTTTGCCTCTAAATTATTGACTGATTTGATTTCAGCTAAAACCAGGGTTGAGCGCGTATCCTACTGATCCCCGACAAGCAGCAAACTCTTTGGTATCTCTTCTTGACAAAGCAGAAGCTTCTGTTCCCCGCGAGTTGCGTCCTAAGACACCTGTCAGAGTTGGGGTAGGGAAATTAATTCTTTTCACGAGTAGATCTTTGAAGCTATTTCGTATTGTTGTTGCTTATTTTTTGAATCGTCTAAAATGTTTTTCTCTATATCCTGTTAGGCAACTGCAGGTTTGAGGACGCTGGGTCATGAAGCATCTGAGAACATTTTGCAAGCGGTAATTTCATTTCCACTATATTTTTTATGCACATTCGCCTGCTCACTTAGCTCTTATACTATTATAATTTTGTTTATAAGGTTAAGGAACTGTTGAGAGATAGGAGCATGCTGAAAACTGAGGCAAATGCTGTCACTGTGCTGGATGGTACCCAGGAAGGGTCTTATCAGTGGGTAAGTTGTCCCACATTTGTTTTTATGTGTCTGCGTCTATGACTTTAATCTTATCGTCTCCATTCTTTATCTCCATATTAAAGAGTGGTATCTTTTCTAATTTCTTATTCATTTTATAAATAGTATCCAGTTTTCACTATGGCAACTGTAATAGTTGGAGACTAGTATATAAAATAATAAAGTTTCAAGCTGTTGGACCTTAACCAACCATCAAGCTAGCATTTTGTCATAATGGGCTTCGATTCTGCAGGTAACAATTAACTACTTGCTAAGGAACTTGGGAAAACCATATTCAGATACGGTTGGAGTGGTTGATCTCGGAGGGGGGTCTGTTCAAATGGCATATGCTATATCCGAGGAAGATGCTGCAAGTGCACCAAAACCATTAGAAGGAGAGGATGCATATGTCAGAGAAATGTATCTGAAGGGAAGGAAGTATTTCCTCTATGTTCACAGGTTAGTCATCTGTTACGGTTTTCTTTATTTCATGTTACTTCAAATTATCTTATACTAATGACACCTAAAGAGTTGGATGGTTTTAGGCTTTTCTACTTTATCTATTAGTCCAAAATATTTAATATGAGATGTTATTGGTTTCTTTTTGCTTGTAGTTACCTACATTACGGATTACTGGCCGCCCGAGCAGAGATTTTGAAAGTCTCTGAAGATTCGAACAACCCCTGCATCGTGACTGGCTATGATGGTGAGAGATTATTTGTATATCAGAAATGCTGTTTCTTTTCCACGTAGATCTCTTTTCCACACATGTTTTCATTATCGTTGCCATCCTTTTGCTATAAAAACTCTCTCGATATGCAATTGCTCTTAGCATCTGGACTCAATAGTCTCCAATTTCGTCTTAACATATTTTGTACTCTGTAGGTACTTACAAGTATGGAGGAGAAGGGTTAAAAGCCGCTGCTTCGCAGTCCGGTGCGAGTCTTGAAGAGTGCCGAAGGTTAACCCTGAACGCACTCAAAGTGAATGATACACTGTGTACACACATGAAATGCACATTTGGTGGAGTATGGAATGGTGGTCGAGGTGGTGGCCAAAAGAATATGTTTGTTGCTTCATTTTTCTTCGACCGTGCTGCTGAGGTGATCCAGCTAAAAACACCTTTAGTTTTCTTTACAATCCCGTTTACACACAAATCTGTTGTTTCTTTGTTACAATGAGTTTGGTTTATGACACAGGCTGGATTCGTTGACCCGAAGCAACCGGTTGCTACAGTTCGTCCAATGGACTTTGAGAAAGCAGCAAAGAAAGCTTGTAGTATGAAGTTGGAGGAGGGAAAATCGAAGTTCCCACGTGTGGAGGAAGAGAATCTGCCTTACCTGTGCATGGATCTTGTTTACCAATTTACTCTGCTCATTGATGGATTCGGTAAGTATATACTTTTCTTTTTCAATTTCATCGGTAATGATAGTCCATAATTAGGTTACGGATTATGACGAGACTTAACATATATAAGACTCGAAAAGCATCAGTAACATTGGATCTTTGTGTATGAAATGAAATAGGACTGGAGCCATCACAGACAATAACGTTAGTGAAGAAGGTGAAATATGGAGATCACGCCGTGGAAGCTGCGTGGCCATTAGGTAGTGCAATCGAGGCCGTATCCTCTCCGTGAGTGCATTTTGAGAATTACACACGACATTATTCTTTTAATTTCTCCCAAAGCCCTTTTTTTTTATGTTCTCTACCTCATTTTTTGTATCATCCATAAAGCAGAAATTCACCGTTTTATCATAATGGTCGTATTTAGAGAAATGGTTCTGTCACTTATACCTCGTCAAAAATTTGATTTCTATTTTTTTTTTTTTTTTGTAAAATAGAGTAACCTTATTGTCCCGGTTTGTTATATTTTAATGAAAAGATTGCAAGATTCTCATTATTTTTTTCTGTTACGCGTATTTTATCATGAATTTAGTTTATCATCCTCATTCTCATTTGAATTTTTTTAGCGAGTGTATCAACTAAGTATCTATTATTTCTAGACATTTTTTTATCATGGATAAAATCACAACTGTCTTCGATAAACTAATCGTTCTACCAAAGAAACCTACACGATCGTGACTCATTGATTAATAGTAATAGTGTTACAATGATGATTATTGTTTAATAAAACATAAAAAAAAATTCTCTCACAATGGCGTTTGTATACGATTTGTATCAGACATTTAAATAAAAATTATATTTCGTCAAGTTGACCGAAATTAGTAATTTAAGGAATTTTTTGTGTGCAGATAAATAATAATTCAAGAAACAATATGAAATCTTATAAACAAATAAATTGATTTGCTCCCTTTGTCATTGTGGTGTTTCGTAAATCCACGTGGAGAATGAACTCCAATTATTGTCTCTTGTTCGTGTCCCTCGAAAGATAGGCAATTACTTGCACACAACAAATGGTGAATCATCATTTTTTGCACAAAACGAGAAATACAAAATAAATGACAAATCTTAGCTCATTTTGTTAGAGGGCTCGGCTCCACCTTCGATCTAAGGCAAGAGGAGAAGAAACATGAATAAAAATAAATATTTACCCTTTCCACGAGAAAACAAAAATCTAATGCGCAAATTGATATTTCGTTAAGTCTAAATTCGTAAAGATGAAATAAAGCTCATTATAACTATATTGATTCACGGTCATCATTTTTATGTTAAAAAAAAAAAAAAACTATTGATTCACGGAGGCAGGGTTGAAAATTTTAAAAAGGCGGGCCTTATTTGTTATCATACCCAAATATCATAGTTTCTAAGTTTCCACACAAAAGTATAATAATGAATGAAGTTCAAAGAAACTTTTTACCATTTTTTCCCTATGGTCCCTGTTTTTTCTTTTGTTTTTGAAAGCAGATTTTCCTTAT